TGTGGTTGCAGTTGCTCTTTTGAGCAAAGCAGAACTGCATTTTAGTTGGTCTGATACTGTTGCTTGGTGCTGACAGCTGCTGCACTGCCAGCAAGTGTTTGTCCTTACTGGGGATTGCTGCTCTCTATCAGAATTTCGTGGTTACAAGGCTGATGTCCAGATATCCATTCCCTTCCCACCCAGTGCTTGAAGCAGAGCACTGGATACCCTGTGCTAATCAATGTGGGACTTGCCCTTCAGGAATGTTTGCACCTGTACAGACCTGGGAAAAAACTGCAGCCACATGAGCTGCTTTCTTTTGAGTTGTACAAAGTTGTGGTATTTAGGTAATGTCAGTCATTGTGTGAATCTAATGGTCTTAGGGGAGAACCTGCAACTTGGATAGCCCAAAGCAAATGTTCAATGAACATTTGAAGATTCCTACCAAATGTTTTGGTAGGAACAGCTGCTGTTTTCAAAGGCTATTTCATGCCTTGACTTCTCTGACAATTGCTAGCAAACACCACATCTCTGGTATGAAGGTTTTCATATTTTCCTTTCACTTCTGTGTTACTTCTCAAAGTGTAGCAATTCTGAGTTTACTGCAGATGGTTCTGTCCACAACAGCAGATCACAAACACATGTGTGATATGAGAGGAATGTGATTATTTACTGATTTTTTTAATAGCATCTTGCCTTCTAGGTTCTTAAACTGCTTTTAAAACTTCAGTTGAACTCTTGAGTTTCCTTGGTTTGTTTGTTGCTTTTATTCAAATGCAGGAAAAACTGAGGGTCCATGGGTGGGATTTGGCTCTCTTTGGAGATTCTACAGTAGCTGGTCTGTGCCTGTTGATCTTAGTTTATGCAGAGCATTTGCTGGTCCTAGCTATAAGTATTAGAAGAGACATGGTTTCTGAGAAACATTGGAAAAGTGTTTGGCCTCAGTGAAAAACACTAGCTGGGATGACAGCCCCATCCTGTCATAGTAAATCAATAAATCATAGCAAATCAATTTACTATTGCCGTTGTAAATGAAGACTGAAACCCACACCATCACTAGAGCTTCTTCTGAAATCCATTTCACAAGGTGTTCTGTGGGATTCAGACCAAGTATTCCCTCCTTCACCCTATCTTGCACCATCTTGAAATGGTCCCTATCCTTATGCAGGGCCAGGACTCCTGAGGTCAAGGGCAGACCAAGGAGCCAAGCTATGGTTGCTGCTTAATCTCCTAAATGCCAGATCCATGCCTGCTTCTGGTGTGGTTTGCGCCAGACAGCAGCTGACACATCACACCATCTCTGATCCGCCCGAGATCTGGGAGCTGCGGTGGAGTCCTGTCTCCTGCCCTGGTAAATCTGCTCCATTAATAGCTATCAAAGACCCTGAAGTTTCCATCCCAACTTTATCTGGCTTTGCAGTGAGCTGGAGGATTAAAACCTGTGGCAGGGGAAGGGAGGGAGCGGCCGCGGCTCACCCGGAATAGCCTGACCTATGACGGCAGTGCCAGCCTGGGGAGGGGAGTTGTCCTGTGAGCTCACGGGTTATTAGCAGTGAGCACAGACATGTCTGCAGTCAGCAGCACGCCCTGGGCCAGCTGCTCCATCCCTGCCTGGTTCAGGGAGTCCAGGGGGATTTGTTAGTGTGATTTGCCAGCACAGCTCTTTGATGGGGGAGCTGGGAGTAGGCTGGAGGGCCAGCATTGAGGAGCCGTCCTCTGTGCTGCTCAGATGACTTGGGGTCTGACCTCTGGGCTGTTTGTGCAGGGCAGATCTGGCTATGAGGGAGAGCATTATGAGGAGATAACCACTGTCCTGCTGCAGCCCAGGGCTGTTGCCTCTCTGCTGCATCATAGCAGGTAAAAAAGGGATCATTGTATGGCTGGGGCTTGCCCACAGGGCCAGCAGACATGGGGCACAAGCCTTCATCCACCACATAGGGAGTAGTGTAGGAAGCAAGAAAAGGGGGGCTTTTTGTGTAGCCAGGATTCGCTTCTCACAGGCTCTCTCTTGTACCTGATTTTCTTTTCCTTGCTTTATTTCTCTGCAGGCATCCCCAAGTCATCTGTTTGACCCATACCTTGTCACCACTGTGGAATCACACAGGGTTTCTTCTCCCTTCCTCTCTCCTCATTCAGAGCTGCTCCTCACCTGAGCTTTCCTGTTACAGCAGGAGCTTTTTCCTTCGAGATAGGCTGGGAGTCAGAGCTCTTTGCAGTGCCCAGTGTTTTACAGAAGTTGAGCAGAGCACCTCAGCGCAGTGGAACAGGATTTTCCTAGCTGGTCAGATGATCCCAGACTAAGTGTGCATGTTCCCCAAGGGGCAGTAGAATTGGAAATTAACTCCTTGGATATGATGGATAGGCATGTGGCTCCATAATGAATAGTCTGTGAGTGCTGCTCAGTGTTTTACATCAGGAAGCACTGAGGCTGTTCTGAGTCTTTGACCCTGGTGACATACTCCAGATTCCTGCCAGTTAAATGCTCTCCTTCCCTCCCCTCCAGGCCTGAAAGCATCACATCTTTTGAATAGCCAGACAGATGCATTGCCCTGTAAAAATCTCCTTTGTATCTCCAGTAATTCTATTGATCTGCACTTTGAGGGAGAATGTAATTCTTTGGAATTTACAGCTTGCATACTTCATTGCTATCAGTGATGGGTGCTATTGGTGTGCCTGCTCCTTGGACACCTAGAAAGTCACCCAGCAGGTGGGAAACCCCTGCTCCATAGATCTGACAGCCTAGGGGAGTGCAGCTGAACAATATCTGGAGGAGGTTGCCCATACCACTTGATGAGAAAGATGAGGCCATACTGAATCCTTGTCTCCTGCTGGCATGGCAGAGGAATGAGTAACCTCAGCAGCAGTGCTGTTATGGGATGTGCTCCCCTTTGCTGGAGTGGGTGGGCACAGGAGACACCAATGTCTGGTGTACAGGACTCTGCCAGTACAAACACCATTGCTGCTTCTCTCTCCAGCAAGCTCCTACGTGCCAAGGGTTTGTGAGGAAGAAGGGAATATTTGTGCTGTGTCCTGCTGTGTAGACAGATTTACCAAGCACATTAGGCACTTGTGGCTGCAGTGTTTGTTGCTGGCATTTGAGCTGTAGAAAGTTGTACTCAAAATTCTGGTGGTCCTTGATTCAGCTCTGGGTGACAAAGGGGACACTCTTTGTGTGTCCTTTTCCCTCCTTTTGCTGACACTGGAATACCTCAGCAGTTTCTGGAGGTGAAGAGAAGCTGTTGAACAGAGGGAGAATGAAAAACAGTGATTCCCTCCTAACATTTAATCCCAGCTGAAATAAGGGGATTTAGGAGCTGGATGCTGAATGACTGCACTGATATATCAGATCTTTCACTACAGTCAATTACTGTGGTCAGGGGTGAGATGGGAATTATCCATTCATGTATTGGGGAGAGAGAAACTGAGCTTAGCCAAATAGGCATAACAGGTGTTCTCCACCTCAACAGTATAAAGAACATGAGAATGGGCCAGTAGGTGCATGGGCAATTGGACTAAATTATTAGTGTAGGTCACTTCAAATTGAAAATATTCTATTCTACATCCTGTTGCATGATCCTTTTCAATTCCATTTTGGGGACTAATCATGAAAGACTGACCCCTGCCTTGCAGGAATAAAATTCTCTCTGTGTTCTCTGAGAAGATCCATGGGTAGCAAAGGCAGCTGGAGGAAACTGGTTTGGGTGACTGTCATGGCTCTCTGGCAGTCCCTCAGTCTGGGAACAGTTACTGATGGTCTGCATGAAGACCTGGTGTCAGTAACAGGGACCTGCTTTTTTTGTCTAAATCCCCTTTTCCGCAATAGGGGCTGAATTTACAGCTGGGGTCTGTGGGTACAGGGCTGTTCTGCTGTGCTCAGTAGAGCAAGGGGGACTCCAGCTTTCCAGCTTTCTGCCTCTTGGGCACTCGTGCCCTTTCCAGACAGGGCTGCCTCTCTTGTTGAGGTGCTCCCTCACCTCCCTTTCTAGCTCACCTGTGGCTCACCAAAACCTCCTGTGGCTGAGGGCTGGGTGGGCTTTTCTCTGGTTTCTCTGGTTTCACTGTCCCTGTGATACAAGGCTTTTTTTTTTTTTTTTTTTTTATGGTTAGGTTTTAGTTTTGATTCAGAGAGGTGATATAATCAGCCTTAACCAATTACAGGGTATATCCCAGTCTCTCTGTAGCTGGAGTTGCTTGGGGCATGGCAAACAGCTGCTGCCCTCCTTCACAGGTTTGCCCAGACCTCTTGTGATGAATGTACCTGCCAGCCCAGAACATGAAATGCTGTTTTGTTCTAACCTGGCATCAATCCACTTAGCTGCACGGAGAGGGAGCTAAGAGAGAAGGCTGATAAGAGAAGTAGTCTGATAAGGATTTTTGTACAGGCTGTAGGGAGCTGTGCTGTGCAGGGAGGTGGCTGCTGACACTCTCAGAAGTGACACTTGGCCTGAGTGTCACACAGATTAATGGTGTAAGGTCCCCAGTGGCTCTCAGCAGCCAGCTCTTGCCAAGCATGTGCAGAGTGAGAAAAGGTGGAAAGAAGGTGGAACTTTCACTGCTCCAGCCACCCTCCCTCCCTGAGATCCCTGCACAGCTCTCTGTTTGAGGCCAATCCAGCTGTTCTGCAAGCAGAACCCCACCCTGTCTGGACTAGACACTAGTGTTAAATCAGGAAAAATGTAACTGCACAACACAAGGCATATTAGCGATGTGGTTTGTGTCTTGCTGGTTCAGGAGATAACTGGTTTGCTGTTGCTTTGTCTGCAAAAAACATTAGATCAGTAAAAGAGAATCCTCAGCCATGCTCTTCAGTAGAGCAGAATGTAAGGGGTCTGAGTTCTTCCTTACTCATCTGTAAATCTGTTTTCAAACTATAACTGTGTGGAAAAATATTCTGAAAACCTTGAGCACAAGAATAAGGGTGACTTTTTAACTTTGGCCTCAGGACCAAAAATGTGCAATTGTTTCTTTCTATGCTTTTCTGTATCTGTGTTTAAAGTCTCCTTTCTCCTCTCTCTCTGCAGGTCCTTCAGAAGCTTGGTAAAGCAGATGAAACAAAAGATGAGCAGTTTGAACAGTGTGTGCAAAACTTCAACAAACAGCTGGTAAGATAATTGTCGATATGTAATTGCACCCTGGGATTCAGTATTAGCCTCCAGTCATCTGCTGCAATGTAATTAAAGGCCATTAAATTAAACCATGACATAGGCCTATTCAAGTGACCCATAACTCATAACTTCTCACTTACAAGAAATGACATTGTGAATTTCCAGGGTCCCTTTCATGAGAGAATCATAGGGCATGCTGAGGTGAAAGGGGCCCATCAGGATCCTGAGTCCAACTCCTGAGCCTCTGCAGGGCACCCCAAGAGTCGCACCATGTGCCAAGAGCATTGTCCAAATGCTGAGCTCTGTCAGGCTTGGTGCTGAGGAGCCTGTCCCAGTGCCCAGCCCCTCTCAGGGTGAAAAACTTTTTCTTGATACCCAGCCTAAATCTCCCCTCCTCAGCTTCATCCTGTTTCCTCAGTCCTGTCACTGGTCGTGAGAGTGAAGAGATCAGTAAAAATAATGCTTGTTCTAGAACCAATTTTAGAAAAAGAAACAGCTCAAGCAGAACACTTTCTTCAGTTAGCAGCTGCTTTGTAATGTAATTTTTGCTGCTCTGCTGGAAGCAGAGATATAAGAGCAACATTGTGTCCCTGAACAAGGGATAGGTTGGGAAACAGATTAGAAATAAAAAAATAAAATGGAACAAGGCAGTTTCAGTTTCCTAAGCAGAGTGTAGGGCAGAAAAGAGACAAAGAAAGCAAATGGTGAAAAGGGAACATCCTTCCATGGCTAAGATCTAAATCTGACTTCCCCATACTTGCACAATCACTGTGTCAGGCCTGAGTCATTATTCTTCTGTGTGTCTGCCTCATCCCCAATATTTTAGGGCACAGAAATATTTTAACAGTGTAGCAATTTTTCCCCACCCTCCTACTTCCACAGCAGTAGGCTTCAACCTTCAACTGGGTGTGTTTTGTTTTATTTTTAATCTAGAGACTTCAGCCTCCCAGCAGGGAAAACAGCAGTTACCTTGTGGATTTTGCTGGTGCTTGTTGATAGGGGAAGCATTGCTTCTGTTTTGTGGCAGGAAATGTGTGCCACAGCATAGCTCAGGTGGTGCTGAATAAATGTTACTCTTTTGTGGCTTGACACATTTAGGACCTTTTTCCAGAGCTGTTAGTGGCAGCTGCATCGTGTCTGTTGAGACTCAGCAGATGTGGTTGTGTCGCAAAACCAGCTGAGCAGGGATTTGCCACAGCTGAATGTAATGAAAATCCTTCAGTCTGGCTTTGACTTATGTGTAACCAGAGCTGATTGCAGATTCCTGGACACTAATGCTCCTTCTCCTGGCAGCAATAGCAGCTATTGCTCCAGAAGTTCATGCAGCATGTCTGTAGCATGCCCAGCAATGATACTCTTGTACACAGCAGAATACATTTTAACTGCTTTCTGACAACATGACATTACCAGATCTGACTTTTTTGGTATAATTTTTAAGCAATTAAGAAATAACCTTCATAAATGAGAAATACAAAAGACCTCAAATCCACATTTCTAGCTGTGACTCTCTGGGATGGCTTTTTCAATTTCCAAAGCCATTGGTTCCAGTGGTGCAGTGAGGAGCCTGTTGAAGAAGCACTGCCTCTTGTATCCCTTACATTTGAATTCTTTCTCCTGTTTTGTGGAGCAGACCATGAACTAAATTGCCCAAATAATTAATCAAAGAAGCTGGAGGCTGCTCTGCATTTGCTCCTTGAGGTCTGTTGGTTTTGCTTAGGCTTTCAGTTTACCTATTACTAAAATAAATGCAGACAGTGCCTGTTTTACAGGGCAAACCATGAGTGTGAGTTAGCTGGATTCTTAGGCTATCCAGAGCTGAGGGCTAGGGAAATAAAAAAATCAGCTTTATATACATATATACACACTTCTTTATATTTTTATATGTATAAAGTGTCTGTGGAATAGTTACCCTTAAGATTTCTGTGACCTTTCATTACAAACTCTGCTCCAGTGGGGGATGGAGGTCTGGAGGAAAGCTGACCTTTTGCTGCAGGCTGGTGACAGGACAGTGCTGCTCTCTTGTGGAACTGGCTGGGCTGTGAGCAGGCAGTGACCTTGTTCACTGGCTGATTAGGGGCTCCTCTGACTCTAATGACTGTGCTGGACCACTTTGACACATGTTTCTGTGTGTGGTTTGTTGAGGAATGGAGTGCAGGTCTAAAACATCATTTTCAACCAAGGTATTTGTGGTTCTCTCAAATAGTGGTTGAGTGGACATAAGGGAGAGCATTGCACTTCCTGACTCTCTGTCCATCAGGTTCATATAAGAACACCACTCTGAGGTCCCTGAATGGTATGAACATTTTGGCTCAGATGGATTTACTTTGTGACAAAAGAGCTGGACACAGCTGTGCAAGTGCAGGGCTTGCCTGTGTCTCCTGAAGGCTTGACAAGCAGCAGAACTGCCCCTCACTACTCCCTCATGGAGGTTCTTTGGCTATTAACCTTCCCAAATGGCCATTTGAAGGTTCCCTTCTCCTTCCCTTTCCCAGGGTTACTTGTGTTCAGTCACTGGCACAAGGATCTGTCCCAAATGCTGACCTGGGAGCAAGAGTCCTGCTATAAAGGTGCAAGTCAGCCCCTTCCTGAGGTGTGCCAGGCTTTGGCTTCTCTTGCCCTGAGCTGAAGTACTCCCTGGAGGGACAGTGTGAGGCTGGTGGCAGCTCTTACACCTGCCACTGGGTGTGTTTCTGCCTGGCAGAGCAGCTGGGCTTTGATACCTTTCATGAGCTGCCCCTTGTGTGGAAGTTCTGGGCTGGTTTACAGCCTTGCACACCGAGCACACGAGAGGGAAGCAGCTGCTGGCACAGGCTGCACCCACCTCTGCCTGCACCGCGCTGTGTTGGGCACAGCCCCTGCTGCAGGGCAGGCACTGGGGACCTTGGCTGTCAGTAGCTCAGAGAGAGGGCTTCTTCCCTGACAAGAACCCTTCTCACCCAGCAGTTTCCATTTCAGCCCTGTGTGGCAAAACAAGCTTAACAGCCTCCCTGTGGTGCCCCAGAGTGGAGCTTCCCTCCCAGAGTTCATGCTCTGTCCTAACAGTTCTGAAGTTTTACTGAGGGGGAGCTTACCTGGAGCTGTTGTTTCTGTGCTTCCCCTCCCTGTAATTCCACAGTCTGCTCTTCCAGGCCTACATTAATCTAATCTGGAACAGGGCATTACCTCCTGCCCCCTCAGATGGCAAATGTGCATTGAGTGCACAGCTGAGTTTTAAACATCAGCAAGAGCTGACTGAGAGCACTCCAGCTGCAGGATGCAGCAGCACTGGTGAGGGTGCCTGGAGAGCACAGAAGGCTGGTTTGCATTGCTGCAATTGCATACTCCAGTTTTCAGCCCTGCCTTGTAGGTTTTTCAGGTGATCTATCTAAAAATGTTGACTAGGCATTTAATGGTGGTGCTGGTTTTCTGCTCAGAGGATACTTTTGTCTCCATGGCTTTGGAACTGGGTATTGAGACTTGAAGAGTTCTGAGTTTGGCTTGTGTCATTTGCTGCTGTGGCAGGATTAGGGCAAGCATGGACACAATTTTAGAAGTGGCTTCTGGTTTTAGATGCTACAGTTTTGAATCTTACTGCTCCAGACATTGCAGTGCCCAAGTGTGTGGTGGGCAAGTTCTGCAGAGGACTTTCCCTGATGATAGTTTTTTATAACCTCCAAATTGTGAGTTGAAATTTAGTTATTCTTAAAAATGATACTTCAGGATGATAATGTATCCATTGGTGGGACTTTGCATATTTTTTGCAAAACATGAATGCAGAAAAGAGAACCACCGCACCTCACAGCCTGCTGTCATTTTCCTCCTTCCCAGTTTGTGCCCCATGATGAATTTTGCACCCCAGCATAATAAATTTTGACAGCTGAAGCCAACTCCAGAGACAGGGAGCTCACAGGACATCTTCAATAGCTGCCTCAGAGCTACTGACTTCAAAAGCAGATGTTTCCCATCAGCTCTCCCACCACTCAGGCACCTCTTGTCTCAACTGAGCTCATGCTGAGCTTTGTGCTCCCAGTGCAGCTGTGCTCTCTAAGCAGAGGCTAAATCTGCCCAGCTGTTGAAGTGGCAGTGATAGCATAGCTTTGTGAGAAATCCATCTGCTTCCAGCAGCATGGCCCAAATTGTTTTCCATGCCTCGAAAGTTCTGGATGAGTTCACATTTGTTCTTTTCCTACTGCCATCAGCAAAGGAAATGAGGGATTGGAAAAAGCTGGCCAGTTTTACAAACAAAGTCTTCTGGTCTGGGGAAGCATTGGGAACTGACCCAAAGAGAGTACAAGAGGAGAGGAGTTACGATTACATTTGCTGCAAAAGTCCTGGAAGTTCCCTAGAACACAGAGCAAAAAAATACAAAAAATGTGATGGCTTGAAGTTTCATGTGATCATAGGACTGGTGTGTAGCCTGTCTGCAAGACCAGTTTTCTTTAGTTAGAAATGCTTGAGTGCTTCTTACAGACTCTCCTTAGCTGAGAGAATAACTGGTGATCTCCTTATGTTCACAGTCTGAAGGCACGAGGCTGCAGAAGGACCTCCGGACTTACTTGGCTTCTGTCAAAGGTAAGGTCTGCACCAGCAGAGGTTTGTTCCCCTCCAGTGCTTACCTCCCAGGGAGGTTTCTGCAGCCTTCCCCTCCCTTCTGCTTCCCCAGGCATGAGTTGCAGCTTTGTCAGGAGGGGAATCTTTCAGAATCCTTTGGGACCAGTTGGGAATGGGGTTGTGCTTTGATGCCACACACGTGGTGGTGTCTTAGCAGATGGACCTCCACATGTTCTTCCAGGGGAGGATGGACACAAAGGGCTTGATGCAAGTGCACTCTTGGTTCCTTTCTCCCTCTGGTTACCTTCCATCTCTGTGTCATCAAAGGTCAGACATTTAGTAAGGAAGAGCTCAGCACCTGTTGTGATGCTCCTGTGCCTCTGTTCCTCAGGGCAAGGGTTAAACTGTGAGGAACACATTATTTTCTTCTTTGTCTGAACAGTTCCCTCTTCTTTCCTAGCTATGCACGAGGCCTCCAAGAAGCTGACAGAGTGTTTGCAGGAAGTTTATGAGCCAGATTGGCCTGGGAGAGATGACACAAATAAAATAGCAGAGGTAAGATTTTGTCCAGGATGTGGGGATGCCCAGACTTGCTCTGTCAGCAGAGATGAGCTTTGGAAGCTCTGTGTGCACACCACATTTCTTCAGGCATATGACTTTGCAGAAGAATGGTAGACAAACTCAGCACTGTGAAGAAAGGAAGGCTGGAAGGATGTGCCCTGTATTTTTATAGGAGATTGTTGCCAAATGCTTGTACATTACACAGAACTGCACACTTATGCCCAGAGGCTGTTTGTTCCCCCCAGCGTGGCTAAATGGGGACAGAGGATTCCAACAGAAACTCAGGAGGGCCAGCTGGGTGTACTGCTTATGTTCTGGGTAAGAGAAAGGGGCAGATAAAACTCTGGCTGAAGCAGTCAGAGCAGCCAGTTGTGTAGCTGCCACAACCCCTCATGGCAGTTCCACCTGCTGCCTTGTTCCAGCTGCTCCCTTGTTTGGCTGAGCCATGTGTCACCCCACGCTGCCGGTGTTGTCATCCCTTGGCGAGGTGATGCCTGTGCAGCTTGCCCAGGTGTTTTCTGTGGGGCTCAGGGCACAGCCTGGCATTTGGCAGCGTGGGTCCCCTTGGCCTGTGCCTGGGGTGGGTCCAGCTGGAGGCAGCAGCCTCTGCTCTCTTGCTCAGCTGTTCTGCTGAGCAGCAGCTGTGGCTGTTCAGCTCTCTGGATTCATTTGCCAGGGAGCTGCAGGACTGGGCTTATCTGCAGCTGTCTGTGCCATTGGAGAAGTGGTGAAGGAGTAAACAGGAGAGCCAGGAGGAGGATTATTTCCTTCTCCTTCTTTCCCCTGCAGAAAATCTCACCTGAAATAACATCTGTATCTTGCCCAGGAAAGAATGACTTCAAAGAAGATAATGTTCAAACAAAATCTGAACATTTCCAGGTCAATTTTTTCATTAACATGGAAACTTTGCCTTAGTAAATGCTGTTGCAGTAAATAATGGAGTTGTATTTCAGCTGGTTTGACTTCACAGTCTCTGTTGGCCTTGTTTTTTCCTGAGCCACTGTGGTATCTCCTGAGAGATAGACCCTTCAGAAAATTTGAGCCAGAGACATCAAAGGGGACGCGAATCCTGAGAACTAACTGTAGCTACCCTTTGGGTCTGCAAGAATACCTCCAGCTTTCCACCTTCCCCTTTAATTCCTTATTTATATTTTGCTTGTGAAAAGACAGGTGAGAGAGAAGAGTTATTCCTGCCAAATAAAAAGCATGAAGTGGGAATTTTTCCTGAATGTTTTAGCCAAAACCCTTTCTTCAAGTGGAAGAACAGGAGAGAGGGTAATTTTCACCTAATCCATGGTGTTGATAGGAAATTGCTGTGCCTGAGCTAAGGTCAAGGATGAAGTGGGCACAGCTCAGAGTGCAAGCCTTGTCCTCCATTGGGCTGTGGAGGCAGGGGGTGTGAGGGCTGAAGATTGATAGTGTAGCTTTCTGTTGTTCATGATTCTCCAGGAAGCTGTACTGTAATGAATAACAGAAAAGGATGCCTTGTGGAGTCAGGTGTCCCTTTTTTGTAGCTGCTGGGAGAAGGAGGCAAAACCAGCTTGGCAATCACCTTCCCTTGTACAGATTTGAGTTTTACATTGTAGGGGAAAGATAGGGCTTTAAAGGCATTTTGTCCTTGGAGAGGTCACCAGAATTAGCAGCATCAGGCTTTGCCATTTCTGCCAAGATCTGTTATCATTAGTTTTCCAAAGAATTTATTGTTTCTTAAGAGGTCTGAATGCCCAAGACTGTTGGCTGTAGCACTCACAGAGAAAAACAGAAATGTGGAGCCCTGTGTTCTTAATAGTTAATTCATTACTTTTGTTTTTCAGAACAATGATCTCCTGTGGACAGATTTCCATCAGAAGCTGGTGGATCAAGCACTTCTGACCATGGATACATACCTTGGCCAATTTCCAGATATTAAAGTAAGATTCTCTTGGAACTATTTGATCTAGAGACTCGCAGCAGATAAAAGCTCTGAAGATCAATTTCTTATATCTGCTTTTGGAGAGTGTGTGCTGGGCTTGTCCAAGGTCTTCTTTAAAAGCAGCCAAGATATTTACAGCTCTGGGTTAATTGAAAATGTCTTGTTCTAATTTTGGGCTTAAAACAAGAGTGAAGAATCCAGGGGAAAGATGCTGAAAAGAAAATATAAGTGTGAAACAGGAGAATCCATGAAATTCCCTATTGCATCAGAGTGCAGGGGGGCAGTGTCAGCAATAGCTCAGGTGGTCTCAATCTCTCTTTTTGGTCCTTTTGTCTTATAACATCCTTGTAAGTAGAAAAAATTGAGGAAGCAGTTAGTACCAAATGTACTTTATGAGTAGAGGCTGGTGTGGAAGGCAGATTTCTGTGAGTCCTTGAAGTCCTGCTGTGTGTGTACCCAGCTTTTTTCAGGGAAGGGAGAGTGCTGGATAGGTGTAATTTTTGGGACAGATTGTATCCAGGGACCAGGGTTTGAATGCTGGCCTGTGACCTTCCCTTCCCCCATAGCTATCTCCTCTCTATTTATTTTGAGGTTTTGCAGGAAATGTCTTCACCATATGGAAGCCCTAGGAATGATATCACCATATGGGAAGTATCAGCTTGGCTCCTTTCCAGTGACAGCAGCCCTTTCCCCAGCACATGTCTCTTAAAACCTTTGTCAATATTTATTGCTTCAGGAGGACCCTGCTGTATCAGATGGGGCAGGTCACAGGCTTGTAAAATGAGCCCTGAACAGCAGTGTCCTTGTCTTCTGAAACTCCCTGGTTTTGCTTCATTTTTCCAGCTTCTTGTGCCCCTGGAATTCTGGGGTGGGGAAGGGCTGTGGCTTTCCACCCCCTGGAGGCTGTAGGGCTGATCTCTCTGGGGTGTGATGCCATGGGCCTCAGTCAAAGTGCACCCTGTGCTGCTTCCTCAGCAGGATGCCTTACTTTGGGCTTGCTGTAGACTCAGGCTTTAGCACTCCTTTGGTCCAAATAACATTTCACCAGTTGTTGAACGTTGCTGTGTCTGTACAGAAGTATAGCTAGGCCTCACATAAAGAATTAATGTTCTTGAGATTTGCAGGCAAAAAAAAAAAGTTCCAGTCTCATGTCATTTACAGAATATTTGAGTTTTTGAGTTCATTTTTGTTGTTGTGATATTAGTTTTCTGGTTTTTGTTTTCCACAAAATGAAATTTTCTGCTTTTCCTGGAATTCTGGCATTATTCTGGTAAAATAAGTTGATTAATGGAGAGAAGATGATTTTAATTTCGTTGTAAAAAGGCCTGTTTTTATTAATAGCCTAGTAATTAAAATGTGTGATGAGTTAGATCATGCATGTGTTATTTTTTTTGTTACATTCTAGCATGTTCTCAATTAATTTTTACTTGAGGGGCTGTAAAAATTCCCTTGGATTTTTTGGACTTGAAAAGGGATCCACAGCAGGAATGTGAAAACAGAGTGTGCCTTTAGTAAGGAATTTTTGTGCGTTAAAGAAAATAACTTATCCAATGTTGGATGTTAATCTCTGAACAAGGCCTCTTCATCTTCTCTAACTTGAAAAAGTACTTTTAACTTTCTTTACAGGTCAGTGTCTGTACTTCTTGGAGTAGGACTCTTCTTGCATAACATTTAATATTTCTGAGTGAGTTTTCTGTTGGTTTTGCACAATGTACAATAATAGTACAGGTCTCTGCAGTGAGGCCAGAGAAGATAAACTACAGCCCAAGTTCTGAATAGCTGTGCAATTGGGGATGTTCTGACTTGAGCTAAAGCTGGTGCTCTACTAGCTGTAAAACCAAACATCAGTAAAGAAGGGTGTGGAGGGCAGAAGTTTTTTGTGATGGCTTGAGTCTGGTTGTTTTTTTAAGGAGGCTCAAATTAAGATGGATTTGTTGCAAAGTAGTAAAGTCTGCTGGAGTTCAGCTGTTACATTTGGGTGATGGTGAGTCCCTGCAGCTGTCCTGGAGTCATACAAGGGAGCCCTGAGCCTTCCTAACAATCCTGTTAGTGCCACCACTAACAGGCAGGGGTGTGCTCAGTGGTTACTCCAGGAGGGCTCACCCCCTGTGTGTCTGTACCTTGCAGCATTTCCCTGTACTCCAGCAGAAACAGGGGGGTGGAGTATGGGAGCTGCATAAACATGGAGGAGTGACTTTGTTTGAAAGATGGGTGACATTGAATCAAAATTCCTGGTGGGTAGCCTGAAAACTGAAGTGGCCATGTCAGAGGTGGGGAGAACTCCAGCTGTCTCTACCAGGCTGACCTGGGGGCAAAATGGTATCTCTTAAATCCCAGATGGAGTCATGTTTCCTCTGCTGTGTTTGTAAGATGCATTAACCTGCATCTCAGGTTGCTGTGCAGCTGGAAGCCCCCTCCAATACCTTGTCTCCTGGCTGGCAGTGTGGTATCTGGGAGGTGTCTTCTAGTGACCTCGGCTGTGGGGTGGCTCAGCTTCTTCGTGACTCCTCTCTTGGAGTGAGCTGAGCCTTTAGGGGGGAGTTTGGGAGTGCGTGTGGCTGAGATCCTGCAGCTCTGCTGTGACTCACCCAGAGCTGCAGCAGTGTTTGCTGGAGGAGCAGAGCAGTGTGTGTGGGAGGTGTGTGAGCTGCTCTGGCACAGATCAGCCCTGAGCACGGCTCTGCAGCGTATCTGCAGGAGCCTGGGGAGAGGAAACCACAGCTCCCTGCCAAGGCAGGAGAGAAGGAGATTCTGCTTTTGCAAGTAAATCCCAGTGCTGATTCCTCATTCTGCACTATGTCCCTGGGTTTTTTGGTTAATTAGAAATGCTCCTGGCTCTTTGCCATGCCTCTTCCCTCTGTTATCCAGCCTGTCTCTGGGCTGCTGATTACTGACGCTGGTCCAGGCTCTCTGATCCAGGGGGAAATGTTATGGTGGGGCTGGGAAGGTGTGTGCTCCAACCCAGATAGTCTGGGGTGTTTGCAGACAGTGTGGGAGGCAAGGGGGCTGAGGGATGGATAGTTCCTAAAACAGGGAAACCCAGTGGGCCAGAGCCTCAATGATGTGCAGCTCTGCTGAGAGAGAGAGCCTTAGGTTCCTCACTTCCACACAGGATCAGGCCACAGGTCTGACTGTCTGTCCTGGATTCTCAACCATGGATTTGTCAGGACTCCATTCCTAAATCTAAGTCTGGTACACAGTCAGCACCCTCCTTGTATTTGTTTTGGCTTCAGTGTTGTGTGTTGGTGACCCAGTGCTGCAGGTTTTCCCTTGCACTTCCCTTGCTTGAATGCTGGTGACAGCAACTTCTGCCTTTGGCAGTCACTACTGTCTGCAGCTTCTGTCACAGGGTCCAAAAGGCTGTCCATGGCATATCCTGAGCATGTGGATGAGTGCTTTAGCTGTGCTGGCAGCAGAAATGCCTTCTTTTGTTGAACTTAATCTCTCAGACTTCCACACTAACTAGTGAGCTGGTTAGTTAGAGACTGGCTGCAGCCCTCAGGAAGCCCTGAAAATAATGAAGGATGTAGGATGCAGGCACATGGTGGGGCTTAGGAAGCGTGGAGCTAAAGTTCTGAAAACACATGTCACCCAAAGGTGGGGCCTGTTGGCTGGGTCCCTTCACCTTCCCCTGATGGCTCTTCTCTCCTCCTGAGGTGCTCCCTCTGAAATGGTGCTTGCCACAGTGGCTCCCAGGGCCTCCTCTCTGGGCAGCCTGTGTGGAGGATCCAGGGAGAGTCCTTGTATGGGCAGAGTGTGGAAGTTGGGAGGGTTTTTTCCCTGGGAGGCTTTGCAGTTTTGGCTGCTGGGGAAGATAGATGTGACTCTTTTCTCCATCTTTCTAGTCTCGTATCGCGAAGCGAGGAAGGAAGCTTGTGGACTACGACAGTGCCAGACACCACTTTGAAGCCCTGCAAACTGCAAAGAAGAAGGATGAAACCAAAATTGCAAAGGTAAAGGAATCAGGAGGATATGCAGCCTTCCTTTCTTTTTGGGAGCTCTCCATTTACCTTCTGAGCTGCTTTTAAGTTCATCTGTACTTCTTCATTGTGTTTTCATAGAATTCATTCATTTTGGAAAGGACCTTTAAGAGCATTGAGGTGTTGTGAACTGGTGAGGTTTTGCTAGGTATTTTCTTCTCATTTGTTTAGTTTTCCTGGGAGGCAGGATGGCCTCTGGGTTGGTTCAGTCCCACCATCATCAGTCTGCATGTCTTGGTGGCCAGATGCTTGGGCATGGGTTTGTCACATGCACAGGACCAGTAACCTCTGGCAGAAAAGCCTGTGTGCCCCTTGGGGAAGCAAAATCTTGCAGTGCTCCAGAAAAATGTTACAGTTTGTCTGCTTCTTGGCACTTTCTCCCCATCCTAGAGCAATGGTAAGAACATTTCAATGTTATTTGAAGTTTGTTGTGTTTTTGAAGCCCTCTGATATCCTAGGAGAAGAGAGCCTTAGGAGTGTGAATTACAAGTACACTGATGGAAGAGCACTCTGTGCACACTTGATGAATGTATTCTATTTTCTGTTGGTCTCAATTACTGGATAATAAATATGGCTGAAAGCAGAAAAATAAGAGTTTTTTCTTGTCAGGTTTCTTTCCTGCCTCTGAATAGCTTGATCCAGGGCTTGCCCAATAGTAAAATGAAGGATTTTATTTTTAATGAGATTTATTTTAATTAAAAATAAAGTCTATATTTTTTTAATGTAGCAGAAAAAAGGTAATAGTGCTAATTTTGTTCTAGAGTAGGTGCATGGATTGAATACTGTCCCTAAAATGAGCTATGGATTCCTCTTGTACCCTAAGTGTATTTGAACCCATGTGCTTCCCTTCACAGGACACTTCTTGACACAACAGAATAGTCCAGGGCTGGGGAGACATCTTTTATTCTCTTCAGTGTGGGCCATGGTAAATTGTAAATCCTCAGGGTAGAAGCAGTAGAGGAAAGAAAGACCCTGGATCTGTATCTTTGAACCAGGCTGACAAGAGTTGTCATCTTTTGCTTAGGGTTATTTCTGGTAGGGAGGAGTATGAGCTATGTAAGAGATGCTGGTGTTTTTCTTGTACAGAAGAAATTAAGATGCATCCCTACCCTGAGTGAAAAATGTGCATTTAGTGGCCATAGTGCTTTTATTGTTAACCTGCAAGTCATCAGTCATCTACAGTGCACTGCATATGCACTGTGATTAACCTTGACAGACAAAAGAGGAGAGAGATTGATGGCCCAAGTGTCATTGCATCGCTTGTGTGGTAGAGCAAGTCTTGATTCTGTATGCAAGGCATGAGGCCCAGATGGTTGTGCCTTCAGTTCAAAGCAGTAATTCATTGTGTTTGGGGCAGGAGCAGAATTTCCCTGGGGCATGTTATTTTATTGGTGTGTGCTAGTGGGATCTTTGCTGCAATATAAGATAAAGCCAAATGGTTTTGTAGGAATTGATCTACTCAGGTTGGTACCTGATGCTCTGCAGCAGAGTTTAGCTGCCTTTATCTCTGCTGCGCTCACTGTTGCCCCAAATGTTCAGCTAAGATGATACAACAGGTATGGAAAAAAGTGCAGTTTGAAGAGTGAAATATTGAGAGTTAGGAGTTGGTGCTCTATTCATGAGCCTGTGAAGGGGTCTCTCAGTACCTGATCAAACTCTTCTTGTTAGCCAAGGCATGCACTGGATCAGATCTTTCCACCCTCTGGAATTCAGGCCATAAGCTCATGCACAGGACAATAGGTGACACATTGTACTGTCCTGATCCTGCAAAGATGGGAGCAGCAAGTCCCAAAGATGGGAGTTATGTGTGTATGGCCTTCCCAAGGGGACAGTTCTCACTGCCCAGCCTGGGATCTGGCATTTGCAGTCACAGGGCTCTGCAGGGCTGTGGGCAGCAGCTGGGGCTCAGTGTGCACTCAGCTGCTGGAGGTAGTTCACCTCTCTGTTTCTGTGCCTGGAGTTGTGCTCCTGTGACCTTTGAAGTAGGGTTGTTCCAGTGTAAGTTACTTTGGCATGTGATGACAGACCCCTAGGAGAGAGAAATCATGTTTCTGACACAGGATACAAGTGGGAACTGACTTGGTTAAGGTTTCATGGTATAGTAACAGAAACAGCAGTGCAAATACTTTTTGGCACTACATGGTCTCTTTTATTCTTCTCTAATATGTGGATGTTCTTTTCCCACCCAGGACCCCTGCCACTTATTGCTAAACTTACATCCTGCTATTAAAATAAATCACTGTGGATTTTCAGCTGTTGCATGCAAATAATTATGATGATTAATTAATCCTGACCTCTCTTTAAGGAGCTCCAACTTCACAGCCATGCCTTGGAGTAGGGTTGTCTGTGTGCTAGGTCACTAACAACTGTATCTGTTGCTCTTACAGCTGCCTGGCTGGTCTGCAGTATCCAGCCCACATGGGAACATTAATTACTGCTAAACTTGGCATGCTTCAAAGGATTCATAACTGATCAGTCCCGAGATGTTTGTTTTTTTTCTCTCGCCTTGGTGATACTGGTTTGGCCCAGCCTCTAAATACACTCTCTGTTGTGATTTTAATTTTTTTATCCTAAAAGATATATGTTTGTGTCTCTCTTGTTCTCTGTTTATTTGTTTTTCTTTTTTTTCCCACTCAAACATGCTCCCTCCCCCAGCCTGTTTCGCTGCTTGAGAAAGCTGCGCCTCAGTGGTGTCAAGGGAAGCTACAAGCTCACCTCGTTGCACAAACTAATCTGCTCCGAAATCAGGTGACTGCTGATCTACCTGGCTCTAACCCTGCATGTGCTATTTTGGGCTCTAGATTGTACCCTGCAATAATCTCTAGGCAATGTTCACTCTAGTCCTCTCTGATCAGTGTGTCCTTGACACTCCTTAGCCACTGTGGGCACGTAGAAGTTGCTGACCAGTGAATGAGTCTGTGCCTGCCCGACTGATTTCTAGTCAGGTGTGTTAATACTGGGCTGTTGTTTTCTCCCCCTGAGATGAAATGTAGATGAAGAAAGGCTGTGGAATAACTGAGGCAGAGGGTGATGTACTACAAGCTCCTCCAATTACTGCTTCCATTTTGTGCTAAGAGAAGCAGTCAATTTTTATTGTTGCTGTTTCAAAAAAAAGAAAAAAAGGAAACGCTGAAAAATTGGCCTATGGATTCGTGTCATTGAGTAAAGCCACAAAAAAATAACATTGTGATTTCTGTGGCTGCTGAGTTAGCTTGCAACATTCTCCTGTGATATTCCCAAATGAGCACTGTCCTGGCTGTTGTGGTTTAAAAGAGCCATTTTTAGATACAATTTCGATCTGCACAGGAGAGGAGATGGGCCCAGATCAGGCAATTTGTACCCTGTGTGACATATTTGAACAGGCTGAGAACCAAGGTGGTGTCATCTAGCAGAACTTAGGTTATAGCATCTTGAGAGACACGAGCAGCTCAGAGGAACTGCAGGGAATAAAAATTTCAATCCTACTTGCATACAAGTGTGACTTTCTGATGAAATCTCGATCAGTGTTTCAGTTGGAACACCTTAAGGGATAAGAGGAGTTGTCAGAAGACAGTGAGAAGAAAATGCTTTCAATGAGCAAGGGGTAATAAATCCTTACCCAAACTGGGAGAGCACCAGTTGCCTGCTCTCAAGTTCCTGGTGAGCTCATCTGTTCTCATTCAAATGCTCCTGTGTTTTCACATTCCTTGTCCACTGAATGAATTGCAGTTTAGATTCGCCTCTCACCTTATTAAGCCCCTGGGTTTTCACAGTCACTTTATGACTTTGGATCAGGGAAAAGACTCCATTACCACATCAGTAAAGCTTGGGAAAAGAACAGCTGTTAGCAGCCCTGCTTAAAATGCATAGCAAAGGGAGGAAATACGTATTCATTCTTGATTGAAGGGAGAAGGACACATGGCAGCCTCCTGGGGGCTTTTCCTGTGCCTCTGCTGGCCCAGCTGGCAGCTACCTGCACAGTTGGGGTTCTTGACTGGTCTGTTTGACTGGTGGTTTTTCTGGAGGACTAGAAAAACAGGTATGGGAAGTTCCTCAAGTCACAAATGAAAATATAAATCTATCAGCTCTTGGGCATTTTTCCTCCTCTCAGGCTTGGCTGTGGTGACTGCTGTAATAGCAGCAAGCACAGACTGCCCAGAGAGGCAGTACCTATGAGTGCCCCCTCATCCATTGCCCATGGATCTTAGGATACCAAGAGTCACTCCATAATTTCACTGTGCTGGGTCACTTTGCCCTACAGCACATGCAAGGGACTGTGTAATCTTTCTACCCACTGTGCTGCGGGGGCGTTAATCTCCCAGTACATGTCATTAATATACTCAGTGACCACAGATATTTTCAAAACACTCCCTTTTTTTCCTCTGCTAAGTAATGCTATTGCCAACCCTAATTTTTTGTTTCTATTTGTGTAAGCATTTGGGGGTTTTTTCTTTGCTTTTTTCTTTATTTTAATTTTACTTTTGGTTGGAGATTAACAAAAAAAAAAAGCTTAAAAAAGAGTGTTAGTTGTATTCTCAGCCTGTAGGTTTTCCAGCTTGCCTTCACAAAAATGAGTAGGTAGGAAAAAAAGGCTTCAGTTTTTACATTTGTGTGATTTCAAGACTTCAGGTGTTAATGACCGCTCTAAATCTCATTAACCTCTTGATAAAACTGGGAGGGTTGATGACGCTGGAATTATTGAGAGGCTTCACAATGTTAAGCCCTAAAGTCTCCTTTTACCAGCAGCTGTGTTGCTCTCTCTTCTTGCCTGATACTTTTACAGCCTCCATGCAAAAATGGGGTCAGTGAGATCTGGTGTTTCTACTGTAAAGCAAAGTCCTTCCCTCCAGTGTACAAACTTCTGGCTCTTTAGGCCTTTAGCAGATAAAAACAAAAACAACACAGTGGGGATTTTTTGGTGAGGTCTGCTGTGGGAGTTGGTGTTGCACACTCCCAGTTAGAAATGTCAGTGACTGTGCTTTTTGAAACAAAGAGGAAAATGGCTTAGAACAGCACATTCTTGCCTTTTGACTAAGCTCTGCTGACATGTTTAATGCAGACTAAAAAGCAACATCCTTGGTGCTGCAATGATAACAGAACAATATCTCTGTCTGTAGGAAAAGGTGAGCAAGTTGAGTCCTTGTGAGAGGCAGGTCTGGTTGGGACTGGTGGGGCTTGGGCCTGGAGGGAGTCCTCCTGCTCTCTTCCTTATCCCTGCCTCTTGCATATCTAAACTATTTACTGAGCAGTGCCTAATTACCACAGTTCACAACATAGTCTTTGAAGTGAAATGGTCACCAGACTGCCTGAAAGCACCAGGCTGTACATAACCAGACACTCAGGAGGGCTGGGATGGGTGGTAGTAGCAGAAACAGTGTGGAAAAATTGTCCCCCTGTCACAACTCAACTGGTTGTGCTTTGGCACTCTGAGCTTTGGCTCGGTGGAAGGTCAGGAAAGTATTTGTTGTCCATCTCCTGCCCAAACCTTCCCCCTTTCAGGCAGGGAGAGGAGAGAAAGATTTTCTGAGATCCTGTTTCCTATTTTTTCTCTAGAAGGGCTTGTGACTGGGCTGATGTCTGGCTTTGGCTCTAGCTGGAAGCAGTCAGGGCTATCAAGTGCCAGGATTTCAGCTTCCAAGCAAAATAAATCCCACTGGTGAGAAGATCCCTGGGCAGACTAAGGACTGAAGAATTATTTCAATGCTCTAGCTGAGGTTGAGAGCACTAGCTGAGCCATAAGCCCTGCTGGATGGATCCCTGATTCCTACAACTGCTTTAGAGTGAACGTTGCCTGTTCCTGGCTTTGCCTTTGCCTTGGGATGTCACAATATTCACACCTTGCTTTCTAGGTTTTGACCTTATAAACAAGTAAATGGGAGAGGGAAAGAATGTTAATGATATTCACCGCATCTGAAAAACTAACAGCATTCAATGATGTCACATAATTTCCTGGGTTGATTCTGGTTCCAGTATAGTTTGGAAGTTAGAATAAGATAAAGCCAAAGGGTGGACTTGTTGGTTTTTTTATTTTTTTACTCCCTTTAAAATGGTTGCATAGTAGCATTCATTCATAAAGGTATTTTAAGGTAGAATGAGTCTTTGTGATCATTGTCTCTCATTCAGCATAAACTGTGTCTCTGTTAAAAGACTCTTTGTTTGTTTTGTGCAAACCCTCTTGAAATGTTGAGTTTTTCAGTGAGTGTAGCAGCGAAACAGGGGTTTCTGGGTGGAAGCATCATGACCCCTTCTCCCCTTGCCTGTTCCTCACCAGGTCTTAATTTCTGAATACCTCCCAGATGTGTCTTTTTACAGGGGAATATTTTCCCCCTGGTCTTGAGTACAGAGCCTTAGCCTTGCCTCTGGCAGCAATGAGCAACCCTTTGACAGGTGAAGCTAGCTGGAAAGTAGGAGCTCCTGTGGTTTGCTCTTGAGTCAGGAGAGAAGTGGAGAGTGAAAGGATCCTACTCTATAAAATGGAGAGTGATTCCTGTGAGGAACAGGATTCAGAACTGCAAAATATTTTTAAGCCCTTTCTCCCATCATTCCTGTTGTTGTATATAAGTGTCACTAAGGAGCAGTAAGCTGGATTTCTTTAATTAAGCTGACACAAAGAAGATAAAATTTGATTTCACAGAAGGTGTAGGAATCTGACTGCAGGCTGGTAGGGAGATCCAGCTTCCATAGCTTGTGGGCTCTTTGCAGAGGCCTGTGGTGTTGTGAAATTCCTGCTGTTGTCACATATATAGGCACTGACCTTCCAAATTGCTCATGCAGGGATTTTTTCCATTCTACATCCCACTGCATGGCAGAATGCTGTGCTGCTATAGATTACAGGACAGAAACATTTTAATTAGAAAACTTTAGGTCAAGGCACTGAAAAGAGAAAGAGGTGACCTAGGCCAGATGTAGGAAAGGGCATGTGCTTGTTGCTGGTGTCTGCTGTCAGCAACAGAAACCAGGAGCATCCCTTTTGTTGCTGAACCCTGACAGAATTGTCCATCAGTGTTGGGATCTATCAGTGTCTGGGTCCAATGATCCAGATCAAATTTAAACTCTCATCTGGGAGAAGGAGATCCCTGCTGGAGTTGGGGCTGACAGCCAGCCAGGGGTTGCACTTGTGTGAGACCACAGAAACCAGGATGTGCTGCTGAAGCCGTGCAGCCTGGCCTCCCTCTGGCACAACTCATGCTTTGCATACCCTTCCTTGCTTCTCCAGTCAGCTTTGTGGAAGAGTTGCATCAGCCAAGGATGCAGACCTCCTACCTTCCTCAAGGAGACAGGGCTTTGGCATGACCTTACCTCAGCAGAGTCCCCAAGAGGGAAGATTCTTCTCTAAAGCCATTTGGGATGGATTTCAACTCTTTCTGAGATTTGGCAAAGGACAGAGGCCCCTATTACCTTTATCTGTATCCAAGCTGGAGGCTGAACTCCCTTTCAGTTTTTGAAGTCAGGGAAATTTAAAGAACTTGAAACAAATTAGTAGTTATTTGAATTACTTTGCTGAGTGTATAAATGGGGAAATCCATTGAGAGAACCTGAAAGGAACACATTCAACCTAAAGGGTCCCCTATGGTGCAGCCCTGGTTCCTGGGAAACTCATTTGGGATGGTGGTTACCTCATGCCAGAATTTTGCCTGGTCTCCCAAAGAAGTGCAAAGAGTCACAGCTGCTCCAGCCCTGCAGGGTGCTTGGCTGTGCTGGAGCTGACAATCTCCCTTCTCCATTGCTAAGGCTGAAGAGGAGTTGGTAAAGGCTCAGAAGGTGTTTGAAGAGATGAATGTTGATCTGCAGGAGGAACTGCCTTCACTATGGAATAGGTGAGTGCTGGAAGTTTTCCCAAGGGCTGGTTGGAAGGAAATGAATATCCAAGCTCTTGGATCATAATTCTTCTTAGCCTAGACTGGGTGTCTGCTCTTTTTTTTTTTTTTTCTGGATTGTCTCTGTCTGTCCTAGGATTCCCTCCAGTCACAGGTTCACTCTTGTGCTTTACTTCATAATTTTCCTCAAAAACATGATTTTACCACAAAGAGAAACTGTATTTCTCTGCTTTGTCTGTTTAATCCCTTTGCCCTACTGTTGTATTGCACTAAATAGTTCATTTAGTGGTTGTTTTGCACTGAGTTATTAGAGATTTGCACAGAATAGTCTTTATATTGCACTCTACCAACTCTGCTCCACTTTCTTGAAAGACCTGAGAGAGCATGTGTTTGCCATACCAGAGATTGTGGTGATGAGAAGGGAGGTGAAGCAAAGACCAACATTTAGCTTGGGGGATGAACTGCAGGGCAGCAGAAGCTGGTTTATGGGGATGACACAGTGAAAAACTGGCAAAATCTTCCTAGCAGTGTCCCAGTTTCTTATTTGTAAATGCAGTGGTCTTGTCCAGGCTGACAGTGCTGCTCTGAGGATTGAGAAAGTGGGCAGCAGCAGGGTGGGAAAGCCAAGTGCTGATGTGTGCCTTCACTCCCCTTTCCACCAGGCTGGGCCAGGACTCCTTGCTCACAGCAGCCTGCAGGCCTGGCTGGGGAAGGAGCTGGGAGGGACAGAGGCATCTGGGTGGTTCCCTGGTGCTGCTGGCCTGGGACAGCCTCTCCTCTCCCTCCTGCTGTTGCTCCTTTGGCTGGGTGCTGGTGGAGCACTCTCTGCTGGCAGCTGGCAGGCTGGTGACAGGCAGCTGCTGGCATTTTAAGGCCCCACAGGTTTTTCACAGGCTCCTGCTTTCCAGCTGATCCTTCTGCTTCCCTGTTGCTCTCTGTGCTATCCTTTGCTTTCTTACTCTTTCTGCCCCTGAAGCAAACAGTTCATGCTGTTTTTGATTCCCTGGTGCTAAGGGACTTCTGGATGAATTAATATCTGTCCCCTGCTAATTCTCCCAGCTCTGCCAGCACTGTCTACATCACAGCCTCTATCCTTTTTTTCTTTCCATCTTACTACTGCTGGTGCTTTATTTTTTTTTAACCTTCTTTTGTATTTTTTATTTCTTTTTTTCCTGCTCACCCTATACCTCCCTCTCCCTTTAGCCAGCATAAATTGAGATCCTGTCCTACTCAGTCTCCTCTTTCCCCTGGACGTGTTTGTCCTGTGCCTGACCTTTGCTCCATTGCTCCATTTCCCTGCTACCCTCTCTTCTCACATGTACCATATCTGACAGAATTGATTTTGCATGGGAATGGTGGGTGGGAGGTAGCAGAAAGGGCAGGACTGAAAGATTTTGAGAGAGCATTGTGTCCATTAAGTTTTTCTCTCTTGTTTTTCATTTGGCAGTCGTGTTGGTTTCTATGTCAACACATTCCAGAGTATAGCTGGCCTAGAGGAGAACTTCCATAAAGAAATGAGCAAGGTAAGGCAGCCAACAGCTTATCCTACTTACTGTCTCTTCACTGTTAATGAAAGAAAAACAAAACCCAAGATCCAGCAAACAAACTCAAACAAAACCAAAGAAAAAACAAACTAACCAAACAAAAAAACCTCCAAAACCTCAAGCTAAAGAAACAGCTGGAGAAAATGGCCCCATGTTGGAGCATAATACAAACCCTTAGTATTTTTCTGAGCCACCTGGGACAAAGGCAGTCTGACACAGTAATGTAAAGGGATGGAGCACAGGGAAGAGACCACAGGGCTATGGGCAGCATTGGGGAGTTCATGTCACTTGACAGCACTCATTTCCAGATCCACAGAGGAAAGGGAAGCCGGACCTATCTCTTGCTGCCATTTTTAGTTCATCTTCATTATGGATCTGTAACCTATGACCTGGCCAGGCAAAGCCTGGTGTGTTTTCCTCCCCCTCTGCTGCCTGGTAGCCAGTTGCTGTGTACCCTCACTGTACCCAGGTGTGGGGCTAAAGCCAGCAGGGAGTCTGCAAATTGACTGAAGACTGAGACATGCCTCACTCCAGTCCCTCAGAAAGGCTTTCCCCCAGAGTACCTGTCTGCTTTGGCTCCTTTCCTGCCCTGTGACCCAAAAGAAGGCATTAAGTACTTAGTGTGGGCCTTGTATGGGCCCCCAGTGCCTTGAGTTGAGAATCACAACAGAAAGCAGGGTTGGCAGCACCCACAGGAGACCTCAAGACCAGAGTCTGTGGGAAAGTCCCCCATTGCCAGTGTCCTTTACAGATATGTTCTTGTTCTTTCAGTGAAGAGCTAGAGAAATCCTGAATTCCTTAGGTCTCTATGCTGCTTGAAAATGTAAATGTTGCACTAATATTGAGGCGGGAGTGAGAGCCCAGATGGAAAACCCTTATATTCCCTGTGCTCCCTAATGTCATCCTGACAACAAAACAGCCACTAAGCAACAGGAAACATTATAGTCCTTCAATTCCCAGCAGTCAGGGGCCCTCTGCCTTGGTGTAACACATCAATTTTGAGCCCTGCTGACATTTTATGGGGTCTTTTCCAGTTAATAGCCTGCACTTCTCCACTGAGGGATGAACTAAGTGTTAAGAATAGGGAGGATTGTTATAATTACTGGTTTGTTGCTGCTAACTCACATTCAACAAAACATGGGAAAGATGCTTGTTAGACAGGAATTCTCTTCTTATATGATTTTTCTTGTCAGGATTTTTTCTTTCTTGAGGAATTTTGTATGAGGACAGGGCTTTTGCTTTGGTTCCATAAGAACCATCTGTTTCTTATTACTGCTACAGCATCCAATTAATTGCTGGTGTTGCCTGCTCAATGCCTCCAACCTTGATTTCATGGGATCCCTCCTCCTGCCAGTGATAAATCCAACATCTTGTCTCGTTCATGGATTGGCTGTTCCAGAATAGGAGTGTCTGGAGTCACTGCTGCAGCCTTCAGTGCCAGGGAGAGTTTAACCCCTAATAGTGCATTTCTGCAAAGACATCCAGGTTCTGCCCAGGCCTAGATGGCCCAGGCAGCTGGTGAAGTTGAGGGTTGTTCACCTGAAGGCCTTTGGCTCCACAGTGAAAATGGCCATGTCCCAAGCTGTAAAACAGCTTTTGGCTACAAATCCTGAGTGAAACTCCAGCTGTAGCACACAGATCTTAGGCAAACAATCCACCTGCTTCTGTGCAGTGGTACCTGGCAGCACACTGGTGGGCCCAGGTGATAGGGAAGCAAAGAGGATGATCTCTAAGGAAGACAGAGCATTCCCAGAAATGCCAGCAGCTCTTTGACAGCTCAAGTGCTGTAGCACTGCACAGCCACAGAGAATGGGAACAGATTTAGTGCTGTCTTCTCTTGGGATAGCTGAGGTACTGTGCACGTCCTGCCACAAGCTTGTGTTTGGTCAGTCTGTGCAGGCCAGCCCAGGCTCTCTTCTGGCATCTGAGCTCCTTTCTCATTCTAATTCTGTCTTTTGTTTTTATATTTTGCAGTTGAACCAAAATCTTCACGATGTCCTGCTGGGTCTAGACAAGCAGTACTCAGGCAATGCCTTCCCTGTTAAAGCACAGCCCAGGTCAGTAACTGTGGGTAGTGTCTTTCCCTCAGCAGGGGAGGTGGGACAGGGATCTCTCTACCTACCCAGGGGTGTTGAAACCTCCAAGCTGTCAGTTGCAAGTGATTTGCCCACCTGCCAATGCCCTCCTGAGACTTCCTAGAGCCAAGCCCAAGATTGCACTTGGCACTGCATGGTGCAATCCAATACCTCTTACCTTTCTAGGATAGCATCTGGAGGCCTGAACATTCACTAGGTCCTGATATTTAGGCAACTGACTCTCAGCTCTGCTTTTAAAGTCTAATTCCAGCTACTGAGCTGCCCTTCCTTCTGGGTCCAGTTGCCCAGCACCTGTCCTGTTCTTTTCCCTCAAAAGCTTCCATGTACCTGCAGCTTGTCAGCTTGAGCATCAAGAGCCCATTTCCCCAGCCCCTTCTTTGGCCCTCCAGACTTGGAATCTCCATTTTGCCAGAGCCTTATGCCCATCCTGTGTACCCAGCTGCAGTGTTTCTCCTTCCTGTGCTGTGGAAGTAGTTGCAGCATCACTCATACGAGGCCTCCTGAACTCAGAGCACTTCCAATCCGTGTGTGTGCAAGGAGTCAGTGTCCTCTGGGCCTTCAGTTTTCTTTCCTCAACTGGGTCCTGTCCTGCATGTTTAAGTGCAACTCTGCACATTCCCTAGCACTGAGAAGGGAGGGAGGGGTTGGGCTCTGGATTGGGCTGACTGGCTCCCATCCAAGTGCACGAGTGATGAAATAGTGTTGGGCTCTGGCTTCCAGCTGCTGCTAATCCCATGTGCTGGGTGAGCAGGAGCACAGCCCAGGGCCTCAACTGCTGTGTTGATGGAGGGAGGTGGTGAAGTCAGCATGAAGTAAAGGCAAGCTGTGGTCTGAGTGCATTGGTTTAGAAGGGATAGATCAGCTGTTGAGACCTCTGTGCTCCCTTGTGTCTCCTCCCAGTTTAACCTGTTGCAGTCATGCATAGATGACTTGCATGTCTTCTCCCAGCAATTCTTCCAGTGTGGTGGTTGCCAGCTCTAAAGAAAGAGGAGGTTTGAGTTGAATTTTGGCCCCTGAATTCTGGATTGCTGACAGCAGATGTCAGTGATGCCAGTTGGAATGCCACTTGTGAAAATAATGTCTCCTTCCCAAATTACCATGTGGTGTCTGTTGATCATCACAACCCAACCAGACTGAAACCTTGTGAGGAGGTTGTGGTGCCCATCCTCTTGCTGCCATGGGCTGTGTTGTCTCTGTTAGCAGCATCCTCCAGGGTCCCTGGAGGAGGATGATGAGGTAACAGGACAGATGAAGGCTGTACTATTGCTTTGCCCAGCTTCTTTTTCCTCCTTTCTCTATTCCTTGAGCAACCAATTGTAGGCAGTAATGGCAACCTGGCCCAGAGATGTTCCTTGCTTTTGTGGCAAAGTTTCTGGCCTTAAAGAGCTTTCAATGAACAAATTACCTGTTTTTACAATTCCTGCCCCATCTCTGTACAATTTCTGCCCCCCTCTCCCCCCAGCCTGCTAGCTTGCTCTGGGGCTGTAGTGGGCGTCTCAGCTGCAGTTCTGTGCCCTTTGGCTGGCTAGGAGACCACATGGCCCTAAAACCCAAAGCTGAGTGCATGCACAGGGTCCCTCTGTGGGCAGCAGTCTGAGTGCTGCTGTTTCATCACCTGCTCTCTGCATCTCAGCTGAGGAGCCAGACCTGCCCCAGAGTGAATCTCTTCCTCCTGAGCACACTGGAGCGGGGTGTTGTAGGAGGATATAGCAAAGATTTGCCAGGGTAGCTCTGCAGTGACCAGGAAATGCTGTGAGGCACTTCTGTGTCTGCTGCACATCTGGCCTCTCATTGTGGTGCAGGGCTGGGGTGAGAGTGTGTAGGAGGAAATAGCCCTCACTCATCTGACAGCTCATTGTGGTCTGCAGTAGGAGCAGATACTTCCCTAACCCTTTTCTACTGGGAAGGGGACTGGAGATGGATACAATGGCAGGAAATGAATGAGGAGGTGTGAGAAGAGAGGCAGTTATCTGTGCACATCACTGTGGCATTCATGTGAGGCCCTACAGAAATACTGCTGTGGCTGATGGATCTGGAGCGGGCAGTGTAGCACAGTAGCACAGAACAGCTGGTGCATTTCTGGGAACCTCAGACCTATGTTTGGGATTTGCTTCTGAAAGAGTTAGGAACGTTCAGGGCTCAGATGCCTAGAAGACTGAGGAGTTCTGTGGGATTATCCTGGTTTGATTGGGCAAACTGGAAAAAGACATAGCAGGAAAGCTGCTGAGTAGGCTCCATGTATAAGACTGCACAGACTACATAAGAAAAGAAGAATGGGGAGCTTATTTCTTTTGCAGCAATATTCACAGGGGACAGTGAGGAGCTGTAAAAGGACATTTACAGTACTCTGGTGGTCTGTACAGTTTCCTTTTTCTTCTTCTCCATTTGCACCCTGGCCCCATATTCCAAAGTGCGGGGAAAGTTGTAGTTTGCTTATATGTATAGATATAGATGTATATCTTTGACATATCTTTCTGCTTTCTCCAAACCAGGCCATAGCTTTCTAGTAATGAAGGGAAGTGTGTATGTGTGTACTTGTGTGTGTGTGAGAGAGAGAGAGGGGAGATCCTGTCATCTTAATTACAGCGAGTTTTGTGGCACCTGCTAAATGGGTACTTGGAAGCTTAACTTTTCCTCCCTGGTTTGACTGTGCCATCCTGTAACTGAAATGATTTGCGTGCCATCCTCAACAGAAAGAAAACTAAACTGTTCGCCAGGCTGAGGAAAAAGATGAGCAGGTACCGGTATGGAGAGCAGCATTTCGATACGTGTTTCATTTAGTTCCTAAAACTGGAGAGGCTGTTGCTGGACTCTAACAGCCTGGCACGTGTTAACCCTGTGGTGGGAGAGGGGTCCTGTGCATGATAAGATGTGTTTGTGGCCTGCTGGGTCCTGCTGAGATCTCTCTGTGTCTGGATAATCCCATTAACTTGCTTGTGTGCCTGGTTTGAATCCTTGCTTCTTTTCCTATCTAAGAAGGCAGTGTGAAAACTCAGGCATTGTCTGTCCAGTTGTTTTTGTGTGATGGAAAATGCAGTGCTGGGTTTTCCATGGAATATAATCGATTTTGGTGTTTAACAGCTTCTAGTTTTACCTAGTGGGCTTGTCCTTTTGAACAGGTCTGAAATGCTGCATTCTCATCCCCAGCCTAGCCAGGGAGGACCAGTAGGCAGGTCTTTCACACTCAGAAGTCCTACCCTATCTACCCGTTGCAATTGGGAGAATGATGAGGTGGGAGAAGGATACTTCCAGCTTTGCTCCTTACTTGCTCTGTTCTTGAGGATCCTCACTGTCTTGCTCCATCCATTTAAAATTTTGTGCAGGACTGGAGGAATAAGAAGCCTCTTGGCTTGTATAAAGACTAATGTCTGCATCTTGCCTTTAGAAGAGTGATGGCATTGATTATCTGGGTTGCTACAATGCCTGGAGTTACCATAGGTCAAGGACCCTGACAAGAACATGCTCTGGAGCAAAGTGGGAACTGCTGCATAATGGCATGGAAAATTCCTCTGGTTTTTGTTTTTCTTTTTTGTGTTGGTACTTCCTCCATGGGATCCTTACAGGGAGAAAAAAAAAAATATAATCACCAAGATGGTGTCCTGCCAGCAATAAAAGAAAGTGCTGATGGATTGGGATCCTTGTTTTTCCTGATCTGGTTCCCCACTGACTAGGGCAAGTCATGCAGCCATTCTCTTTGTGTCTGCTGTGCATACTTTGTAAAGTGGGAAGTTGGAGAGTGAAGAGTGGTAATTTCACAAGGAAGCTGATGGGCAAACTTAGATAATTATATCTTCAAATGCAAGTAGTAAAGCAATAGATTGTCTTGTTACTATTCTGAGGTTTTCTACTATAGGAAAAGGAGGATTCACTGGAGCACTTCTCTGGAGGTCTGTCTCTGTTGTATCTGTACCAGGCAGGAAGTCTAATATTTCCAATCACTGAGAGTGGATGGATTATGCAGCAGAAGGAGAGCTAGCAAATCTCCCCATGATGAGTTCTGCTCACCATGGGCTCCTGCTCTGCCTTGGTAAAGTCCAACTGACCTGGCCATAAAGATGCCTGACCTGGGCTCTGCTGGGGGTTTGTGCTGTCAGAGCAGCTGCTGGGGTCACAGAGAAATGTGCAATCCCTAGTGCAGAGAAGGAGGATTTGGAACTCAGTCAGTACTTGATCTGCAGCAAGAATGTACATTTGTGCCACCATATGTTTAGGTATGTAGGTTCTTTTTTCCTTCTTTCTCCCACCCACTCCTTTTTTTTTTTTTTTTTTTTTGCTTCCAAATAATTCTCCAGTATGCTCTAGAGGTAAAAATTTAATTACTTTTGGCTAAAAGGCCCAGTGTGAGCCTTAACTGAGATGCCAACCTTTTTTTCTTTTTTAACTTGAGAACTTGGCAGGACATGACTGATCTGTTTTTACCATATTGGAAAGTAGGTTTTATCCTCTGATGTAGAATTGTTACAAGTGCGAGGGAAACTCATCTGCAGATGTTACTCTGCCCTTCCAGAACAAATGAGGCAGCACCTTGGAGTGTCTGGGAGCTCAGCAGCACTAAAAAGAGGCTGGGTGATTTTGACTTTCCCTTCAGCTGTATTAGACCCAGCTCTCTTTCCAGCTTTCTGTTTGCAGAAGAAAGTTGACACCCCTTTCCTTTCGTTGCCTGATATTCCTGGAATTGGCATCACTTCCCATTTGCTCATGGGAAGGAAAAAGAGCTGTGACCTTGTGGTTTTGGCTTGCTTTTACTGTGGTGCTCACGTTTGGTCAGTAGGTAGAGTCCCTGCACTCTTGCTTTTTCCTGTGTTTCCTGGAGCAAACAGTTAGCTGGAGACAAGACTCTGCTCTGTGTGGGCAGTGTGTGCTCCCTGGGGACATGTGAAGGACAGAGGATCCTGGTGACCATCTCACTTGATGCTGGTTGCACTGGCTAAATTCAGCCAAGTTACAAAGCAACAAGTGCAGGAATGAAGGTGCCGCTCAGGGGGCTGAAAAAGGCTCAGCCAAAATTAGCACTGGCATTTTCCTAGGGGGCCTGGCCAACACATCAAACAAGCTGTAAATAGTAGTGACTTAATGAAGGCTTTAGTGTTGGGCCCTCACAGCCCAATTCTTCCCCTCATCCTACAGGGGCTGACTCACATGGGAGCCTTTTACCAATATATCTCCAAATTAAGTCACTGCCAGGCACTGGAAATAAGTCACAACAAAACTGTTCCATGGCCTTTAAAAAATAAGCCTGAACTCCTTTCGCAGTGGGAGAACTGGCCTTTTCAAGTCCCTAGAAGGAAAAGTCTACCCTTGTCTAGGCAGGCCAGCTGACAGCCAGTAGTCCCAGTATTCCCAGTGTAGTTGGGGCATTTGGGAAGTCCTGGCACTCTAGATGCAGATCACTGTCCCCCATTTACTCTGAGGGAGGTAACATGTACTTTTTTTCCCCCCAAATTTATCATTAGAGGATGTTCTCTGATGTTTCCTGGTGACTCCTGTTTAGATCAGAACTTTACCTTCACCCTCCAACCATTACTACTTTTAATCTGTAGCACAACTTCGTAATTTTTTTCAGAATTCTTTACAGACCCCGGGTATTGAGGTGATTTCTGGGAACTTCTGAGGAAGGACACTGTTCAATCAGACTTAAGAGCTGCAGGGGTTGGAATCCATGTTCTGTAGTCTCTCTTCCTCCCTTTTCCTTCTTCATGTCCCTCTTTCTCCCTTGGTGTGTGTGCCCCTGGTTGAGAGCTGCTGGCAGAGAATGTCATTGGGTTTGTTGCATCATGTTGGTGTGCTCTTGGCATCAGTGTCATCAGAAGTGTCCAACCTGCATGTGGACCTGAGGAAAAGTGCTTTGTGGGAATATGTGTGTGTGGGGTGTGGATATGGGGGGAGAAAGTTGGGGGGATGGGTGAGGGCAAAATGAATGAAGAGGGAATGGGATGGGGAGCTTGAAAGCTGGAATGCTGAGCAGGGTGAGATGCTTGCTTGTAAGAGGAGGTTTGTTGAAATGCCTTGCTATCCCTTCTTCCTCTTGCTATCCCCCACTTGCAAACAAATGTTTAGGAATGAGGCCATCATGCATGTTGGCCAGTGACCACCACAACTCAGGCATCCAGGTGTGAGTGGATGTACATGTCTGAGGCTCTGGGCTCTCTCAGGACAGAGCAAAGTAATAAATTACTTGATCTCCCTGCAGAATCAGATCTGCCTTGCTTTAGTTCTGGCTCTATGCCAGGATTTAGTGTCTCAAGTTGTAGGAGAGGGTCTGTTTCTTTCAGCTTCTCTTAAGGCCTTGAATTTCACAGGAACTGTGACTTTTAGTGGAGTCAAATATCACTCCCTGTAGATGAGGTTGCACAGCCCTTTTGCAATATGCTGTGATATTATATTTTCATCTGTGTATGGTTTTGCCAAACTGTAATCACTTCTGCTAAAATATCCCCCAGCAGTGAATTTTTCCTGTTGAAATTCTCTGGTAACCAACTTTTTGCTAAATCTCTCCTGACTCTATATTTTGAAGCAGAGACTTGACACCCAGCCAGGGCACGCCTGTAGGGAAAGGCATGTGCCTCTTGCCATGCCTTTGAAAAATCTGCCCAAATCTGTCCAAGCTGTGAACCAACAAATGCCACTGGCATATGCTTCTTGCATCTTAATTTCCTGAAGAATCCTTCTTGACTGTGTGTCAGAAGCAGTCTTGGAATAGAGACCAACTAGGGAGACCTTTCATAATAGAGAAATCTCTATTAGTAGCCAGAACCTCACTGTTCCTTTGCTGTCTGGAGTGATCTGTGAAACCTCTGGCTACTTTGCCTCTCTACTAGCTTAGTCAGTTCATACCACATCAAGGAATAAGATATTCTGTGATTGCAGCCTTAGTTCAGGTGTTGTGAATTTATTAGTCATAACCCATACAGAGGTCCATAGACTACCAGACAGAAAAATTCCAATCTGTGGCATTTAAAACTAAATGAGCAGCTCTGAACTCCTTTCCCCATCTGCTTCCCCAGTATTAAAGACTATAATTTAATGTCAGGTACTTATATTAAAATCTGGCAAAATTAAGGATGCCTGGTTGTTTTGTTTTTGTTTTTCTGTGTTTGAGGCAAGTGTGTAAGTTCTGTAGGCATTTAGTGAGTAGCCTGCTGCAAAGTGATGCTGCTGCAGTGTGTTGGACTGCAAGTGACTCAGCAAAGATGCTTCTCAGGAGCTCCAAATGTCTTCATTGCATATCTGGGCAGTGAAGCAAAGAGATGATGGAGGCCACTGATCTGTGCTGGTTAGCACAGCTCCTCCTAGGCCTGGCTCAGACTTCTCTCTTTTTCTTTCCCTCTCTCTCCCCCTGTCTCCCCCTTTCTCTCTCCACTTCCTTCAGTGACAGCACCCCAGCGAAAGCAAATAAAAGCCCCTCGCCTCCACCAGATGGATCTCCCATCACCAGCCCTGAGACCAAGACTGCCAACCATGAGCTGGAGCCGTCCACTTTGGAAGCACCTGGGGCAGGCATCCCAAAGTCACCGTCTCAGGTAGTGTCCCCATGGCATTGACCGTGTCTCTGCTGATGCCACAAGCTCTGTGGGTTAAAGACATCCATCAGTTGTTTTTTTAGACCTCATCCTGCTAACTGAGCACACAGAATATCACATGATGGTTGTTCTCTTCCACTGGTTGCTGAGAAAGTTCCTAAGAATGCAAGTTGCTTATTTGCCATTTTTCTATTATAAGAACTGAGTGTCTTTGAATGGTTTCACAGGGCAGAGGCCAGTAATACTTTTTGCTCTCTGATAGGATGGCCAAGAAGATCCAGGGAGGATGGAGTTGTAGCTAGGCAAGGAGGTTTGTTCTTTGCATTTGAATTAACCAGTGGAATTCAATGGTCCAGTTTCTTTTTAAGAACTTCTGTAGCTGAGAAAGGTTAAAGTAAAAAAGCTTAATACTATAAGAAGAACATCTGTACATTGGATGATGCTTCACTTTACTATCAAGACACAATATTATGCTAAAAAAAGAGAAGGATTATTTTTTTATGCTAGGAAGAAATTAGGCGGGTTCCAGGAAGAAGATAGTCCATTGTATGGAGTCTGATACCTTCCATGTGGCCTTCATTAGGCCTTTCCTTACATAGGAAATATCCAGCAGCATGTTCAAAACAGTAGATACAGCTACTCAGCATATCATATCATATATATTCTACTTTGGGAAGGTAAAACATTTACTTCATCTTCTTGTCCCTCTGTTGCTGAGTGGGGAAAAACTTAGTAGGGAAAAGTAGTAACTAGGCCAAATTTACATTGGGTTCCAGTCCTTGTGTCTCAGTAAGTGGGACATTAGGAGAAATCTTCCAGGAAGAATTAAAGCTCAGAGGGGTTCTGGCTGAACTGGTAAGAAAACTCACTGCCTCTGAGAAGAGATGGGTGCAACCCAGAACTTCCTTGATGTTCCCATGCATGGCAGTGTGATTCCAAACCCAAGCCTGTGGGGTAATTTTCCTCCTGTTTCTAGATAACCTCTCACTATATTGTTCTCTCCACTGCATATTTGATTTTTAGGATTATTGAGGGTCAGGAAGGGGGCATGTGGCAAAATTTCTTTTCCAGCCCTGTGAGATGTGTGGATGCCTGGCAGTGTCTTTTCAGGACTTCTGCAGGGTCTCTGAATGGCTCGGCAGTGCAGAGCCTACCTCTGGCTTCACCACCAACCTGGGCTGGGACCTTTGGAGTAGGCTGTGTGTATGGGGGAGAGAAGATAGGATGTCCAAAACTGCCTTTCTGTTGCAGGTTTCTTTTTGTTTTTCTTATTCCCCCAGAGATTTCCAGAACTTGACTAAAATTTGGAATGAGAAATCATATAGAGATTTATTAAGCTGTCCACAACAGACTTCACTCACCCTGTCTATGGACTCATCTTGCTGAGTTTGGTTTCTTCCCTTTCCTTTAAATAGCACACATAACCCTTGTTTTTGCCAGCCTGCAAATGCTTTCTGCTTCACTTGCTGCCTGCCTGCCCGCAGGAATGGGGCCGGAGGCACCCCTTGAGGAACAAGCAGGAGATGTTCCAGCACAGCCCTGGCTGGGATGGGCCACAGGCAGGACTGAAATGACATTTGCAGCCAATGCTGCCACCGCCCGGCAGCTCTTTCCCATTCTGCATTTAATTCATCCCCCAGGCATCGTGAAGAGAAGAGCTCCACTCCCTATTCACAGCAGCTGCTAAGAGATGGAGCTGGCTCCAGAGGCAGGGAAGGCAAAGGCAGGAGTTTCACACTCAGAGCCGAGACTGGTGTCTGTGTGGATAAAATCTAGAAACCAAGTGTGTGCCAGCTTGCCAGGCAGCTGGGAACACAAGTGTCTGCTCTCTCAACAATGCCTGACTTTAACACTGAAATCTTCACAGGTGTTCTTACTTTTGACCTATGGGTAAGTGATTTGTGCAGTGGTCCTCCAGGGGAGGCTGAGGGGCCTCACCCTCTTTGGGAGGATGGAGCACAAAGCAACAAGCAAGAACAATTCCCTGGCCTCTTTGCATCTGGAATACCAATGCAGAGTGTGAGCAAAAGCTGTGGAGAGAAAGACAAGATCAGGAGTGATCAAATAAATGCTAACTAAATTTTGAACTGTTCCCTGTACAAGCCCAAACAATCTCAAACTCTTTTACTGTCATTTAATTTTTAAAAACAGTTTATTTCTGTCTTTTGGAAGAAGTGAATGCTCTCAGCTCTCCACAGAATAATTTGATGATGACACAGGACTTCAGGGGATCTGTGAAATTTAAAAGGTCAGACTTCTGCTCTCAGTTACACCACTGAAACTCTGTAATGAGACTTTTGAAATCAGTGCAACTGTGCAGAATTTGGGTAGATAAAGCTCTGTGAGATTGAAGTCAGCAGAAGGATTTTAGAGGATTTGTTCTATTCTAGGCAACAAAATTGTTGTTAGTTCATGATGAATTTATGAGTATAGCCCATCATCAATATGCAATCATCTTGTCTTTGAAATGTGGTTTTAGACTGCTGTTGGAAGTAATGCTGGAATAACTTGGAAGTGGTGATTTCCAAAACACTACTGCATTGGAATGAAGGAGACTGACTATCCATATCAAAGGAATAAATAGTAGAAGAGTTGTGATATTTTTGACTTGAGAGTTAGTAATTGGAGCCTTCCATTTCTGAAGAGGGTGGATCTGTTCTGAGAACAGCATTTCCCCGAAACTCCTGGTCCCATCTTGCAACTGGCAGGCAGGGGGTTTTCAGTCAGGAGTTGTTCTCAGAGAATACAGATACACCGCCATGTGCAAACAAAAAGTTGGAAGTGAACACACTTGCTTCCATTATTTCCCCTAGCTAGCTATTCAGGGGGAAAAAAGTGTGTTTTCATACACAATCACTCCCTCTCAAGTAGGTTAATCCAGTAGAAAACTGGGCATGTCCTTAGAAATCTGAATAAAGGCTGTGTAGAACTTAGTTATGTGCTGGAGGAGTGGGAGCACAGGCCTAGGAGTAATGGATTTCTGTGTTTCAGATCTGGGCTTGACACTGATACACTGGGTGCACATTGTCAGGTCTCTGGGTCTTGCTGTCTTGGATGCAGTAAGAAGATCAAGTAGCTGGAAAACTTCATTGTAAATGGGAGGCATTGACATTGCTGAACATTGCTGTAGTGCTGGAAACTTGTATGGCTGATTTATTCCGACACAGCAGCAGCTCCTCAAAGTCTGATTTGATCTAGAAATGATAATTAAGCCTTGTGCACAGCAAAATATGAAAAGTACGTGGATGGGCTGATCTAGGCAGTGACGACCACAACTTCCATGGGGTTGTGGATGCAGTGTCAGGCTGAATCATTAGCATGATGAGGGATGAAAGAATAGGTTAGAGTTACAAAGTGAGGTGGTTTTATGTATTCACTGGGATCTCCATTTGGGAGATGTGACTTCATTACTATTAATGCTCACTGGTGAAACTGAGAGCAGAGTTGGGCTCACGGCAGTCATGGCTTCTCAGGAGTTTGAGTTGTTCTTGCCTAAAGCTGAGATGCCATCAAAAGCTCCTGCAGACCTTTCTTACAGCACACTGAAAACCAATGCACCAGGGAGCCAGAACTGGGCAGATCAGTCTGTCCTGTCAATGCCACCTGCCCATTGTAGGACAAACAGAGTCTCTTCTCTCATTCCCTTAGGTATGGTAAGTATGGCAAAGGGAGGCAATGCTGGCCTGTTCTGTTGGATCATGTTCTCAGTAATTGATCTGCTCCCTTCCCAGTGGTTCTTTTGAAGGTTGCACATGCTTAAATTATGTATGCATGTCCTGTCAATGCATATTAATTGTGTTACGCTTCTCCTCTGCAGAGGGAAACTTGCCCGTGGCTGAAGTGTAACTAATGATGCCAAACCTTCTCTGGAGGCGTGTGGTTATTGATCTTTTGTTTTGTTTCAGTTCAGCCCTTCACCCCTTCCCCTCTCTCTTCAGATGGAGTTGATTGGACCCTGCTCTGTGCCAGTGGTTGTGATTTTCCTCACCTTCAGTTTTTGTGACTAACCTGGTTCCTGTCTTTGGTTTTTTTGGGTGTCGCCGTCTGTGCTGTGGCCATGTGCTCACTTGCATGCAGTTGAGGAAAGGGCCTCCGGTGCCTCCGCCTCCAAAAGTCACCCCCTCCAAGGAGATCAAGCAGGAGAACATCATCAGTCTGTTTGATGACAATTTTGTCCCCGAGATAAGTGTGACAACCCCTTCGCAGGTTAGCTGCTATGCCCGGCCTAATTTTTCTCTGCCTCTCAACTCTTCCTTCAGACCATTCTTCTCTTTGGAGGTGTCAAGCCATGAAACCTGGTCAGGTGAAGGAGGAAAGCAAGCTCAGCATTGGACCTCAGAAGGCAAAGGATTACTTAGGAGCTGACTTAAAGGGGAGAGTACCTGAAAGGCAGTGACAGGTTGGCCTTTGAGAGCTTTCATTCATAGAAGAAACAGAGAGAGGAGAAATGCACCTGGTCAAGGTACCATAAAGTAATTGCTGCATTTGTTCAGCAGCAGTGCACGTGGATTATGACTCTCTTCATATCCTGTGGTGGGCTATGCTTTCTCCAAAGCCACTGATCCTGAGTGTGGATGAAATGTGTTTTTTCTGCTCATGTACATCCCTAACTGCTGACCTTGGCATCTCTGCCAGTTCTTGGAGAAGACAGTTGTGTGCCCTCTGTGCCTTCACCCATGGCTTTGGGTTTAAAGCCCAGGTCTGCACAGGAAAGGCCAAAAGGAATTGCCAAAGTTCTCTTTGCAAAGAGTAGTTGATGCAGTTAGATGGGCAGGACTGTGCCTATAGTTAAGTCTGCTGACACAGTCTGTCAGTATTGTCAAGTGGCACCTTCTGAAGCCCTGAGGAAGGAAAAAAGTTTACAAATTATATGTTTTCCTCTTCACTAGTCCTTTGATTTATGTCACTACCGGAGAAGCTGCTCAGGTGGGAAGTTCTCTGTTGGATCTGGGAGAATGGCAGTCCTTATGTATATAGGAGCCTGACCAGATTTCTGGCTGTATCATGAGATACCTGCATCTACTTTACTTAAATATATATATATATACATTTGTATATACACATGTGTATATATATATTCCTTAAATGCTTGTTAAAGTACAAATCCTGTCTCTATCAGTGCTCATCTGTGACTCATTCCCTCATTTCTCCTTGCGTCACGCTGCTCCATTGCCTCTGGTTTGCCACCTTCCACCCAGCTGCTGAGGGGCAGAGATGAAGTGGGGAGGGAAGGAGATCCATGTTAGATTTGGCATGGCAATAGATAAAACTTGCAGAGTTGGAGAGATGATTTGACATCACTGCTGGAAGGCGGGGACTGCAGGCAGCTGAGCAACTCTTTATCATCATCTGTGCTTCCTTCTCCTGTATTGTAATGGACAGCTCTGTCTGCTCCATGCTCTCTATCATGTATTTCCATGTGAATGCCAGCCCTTAGTCATATTCTTCTGCACCTGATCAGTGCTCTGAGCCAGGATGGGATCTGCTGTGTCTTTTGACCAGATGGGAGTTCTGAGGGAGGACTCTGGTTTCCAGAACAATCTTCACTTCAAGGGCCCAGCAGCCCCTGGCACTCTGTGTGATGCCCAGGGCTGTTCCTGTCAGATGTCTTAGTTCCAATGAGCTGTCTTGTGGGAGATTTGGGTAAAGGCAAGGAGTGTTAGCCCTTGCATTCAAGTCTTGAATGACAGGTAAGACTATTCCATGACTGCAGCCTTTGAGGTTTCACTACTAAACAAAGCTAAAGGTTGGGGTTGTAACCTCTCTGATGGGTGGCTTGGATGTGCTGGAAGAACAAACTAGAATTACTAGAATGATAGTTGGTTTTTGCATGCTGGTCAGGGCTCATTATTGTGAGATGGGAGAGCTTGGTTCCTTATCCTTGTGGATCTCAAAAAAGGCATATTCATAAGGCAGAGAAAAATCTAGAAGAAAATTGGGGTAAGAGAAAATTAGAAGAGGCAAAAATGACGGTGATGTCGGTGGTATTCAGAGGACTTACCTTAAAGGGTGTCACTTGCTACTTTCCAGAAGCTTTTCCATTGTGGGATTTTTCATATAACTGTGGAGACTAACGTGCCAAATTTTGTGTTATTGAAAAGGTAGCTGAAGCAGTTGGGCCAGTGAGCTGGGAGGCTGTAGGAAACAGGGGTGAATCTTCCTGACTTCCAAGAGACAGCAGCTTCCTCTGAAGCTGAGTGGAAAGCAGTATCTTGTGGTTAGATTAAATCTATACCACCAAAGTGATAGTCCAGTCTTAAATGCTAATAATTTGTGTCCTTTGTAGTTGTCCTTTGTAGACTTCTTATTAATGGTAATCAGCAAATGTGGGATCCTTGTCTCTAGGGTAGAGCATTATTCACTCAAAGGGAGTTATTCTGATGACTTTGAATAAAGTAGCAAAGCTTCTCAAATGTATGCTTTTTAGATGACTTACATGTGTAAGTTTATGGGATGCCTAGAAATGAAAACTATTGGAAACAGCATTTTTTAGTTGTGGGGGGATTCAAATCAGCTAGGGTGAGCTGCTATATTTTGTGTTTCTGACTCAGAAGGCATGAGAAAGTTAACAGCTTTGGGACTTAGCTCTGAGGTCTCTCAGACTTCCCTTCCAGTTTGTGGTATTCTGCCTGGATTTTTATTCCTGAGATGGGTTGTATGGATGGTAGCTCTTTTATATGTAGCTGGAGAAGTTGGTCTGTCAGTGTAAAGGCAGCTGGATGAGCTATGGGGAGTAGCTGTAGATAGAGGAGCAGCCCTTCTCACTCGTCAGTGGCTGTGATCCCTTTGACCACAGCAGATCAGGTGCTCACACCATGTCAGCTCATTTGGCCAGGTGGGAAGATGAATGAGTGCTGTGGAAAAGGCTCAGATTTGGTTTGCAGGGCCCCCATGAGAGCTGCCTGGGATTGTGGGCACCAGGCAGTCAGGACTCACATCCAGTGTTTGCGCTGCCACCATTTCTTCTGCGCTTGCAGCCTCAGCTCCGGGATATCACACGCCCTCCCTCCACCGTGCACACGTGCGTGTCTAATGCTCATACTACTTCTCTCCCTCATTGCTGCCAAGTTTGATGCCCCTGGGCCCTTCCAGGAGGGAGCCAGCCTGTTGGATCTGGATTTTGATCCCATTAAACCAGATGCCACTGTGGGGAAGACCCCCACACCCGCCTCCCAGGTTGGTTCATCTCGCCGTTCCTTCTCCCTTCGTGACTGACTTGAACCCACCTGAACAATAGCATGGACCTGAGCTGTGGGTGGCTGGGCTTGGGTGTGGGTGCCCAGGATGGGGACCTTGGTCTTCTCTGCTGGGTGTGAAAGTCCAGGAAGAATCAGGTGGCTGCTGGCCTGGCCACAGTCAGGCACGAGGTGTTTGGGGTGCTTGGGCTTTGCTCTGATGATTCACTTAATGTACGTCCCTCCCTAGAGCAGCATCCTCTGTATGCTGTATGTATTAAAGTTGGTACTCTGGATGGGAATTCAGCCTGAGCTCTGTGCTCCTGCTATAAATTGCTCACAAATGGATTTTTAATTAACAGACACTTTGATAATCTACAGTTACTTAAGGTGAATAAGGCTGTAAATGGATATTCAAGTGATGTGAAGCCCTTCTTTTTCTGTGTATGACACAGCCTGCATTCATAGTTGAGAAGCAGCTTCCTGCCTGTTACAGTGTCGTATCAAAAAGGAAGATGTCTAATTCTGTTCTGGTCTGTACCTGGTCCTGTCCTCTGTCAGAGGCAGGTGAACTGTGCCTCATGTTATGTCTACATGACTGGAGGTTTTGCAGTGCATCCTGAATATGGTTGTTGTCCTCACTGAGATTTTCCATTTTATATATGTGAAGTGGTTATTTTTTGCCTGTGGATGCCACTAAAATTTGCAATTAACATAATTGGGTTTATAGCACATCTCCAGTATCATCATGTTAAGTAGGTCTGTATGGCACAGATTTTTGTAGGAATAAGACTTTTGTCAGAGCAATCAAACATTAGGCATTTGATTCCCCTAAATTAAAATACTGTATCTGCAAAATACTAGTTATTATCATAATTGGATACACACCAATATGGCAAAGCTATCCTTTTTTGGAACTTTATGTGGGTACATGGGCATTTTGTGTCTACTTGCCTTCAGGACAAGCTGCATATCAGGATAAGCCTTTTTAAAAAAAAAAAAAATTACTTTTTTTTTTCCTGAATCATCAGTTAGAACTCAGATGATTTGTTTTACTGACATAGGATATGAGTATAAATTTGACTTAAAATGGAATTGTTATCCTTCCAGCAAGCAACAAATATTATGCTAAGTGGGTTTTTCAAAAGTGCTCAGCAACGGCATATTTAGTATTCTAGCCTAATTATTAGTAGCTTCAGAAGTCATTAAAAGAGAGTAAAAAATAAATAACTTCTACTGGTAACCAAAAAATAGTGAAAACCACCTAGGTATCAAAACAGTCAGATTTATTTCCTGTTGGGTGGGCACTATGGCAGAGTGGTTAAGGTATTTTACTACTGATCCAAAGACACCTCAGAATCATAGAATGTTAAGGGGTTGGAAGGGACCTTAAAGATCTTCTATTCCCAGAGATGTATAAATTCATGTACCAACAGATATTTTCAAAACATGCAGAGATAAGTTCTGTTGAATGTGTATGTCTGCTTCAGTCTGATCAGTGTCTGTAATGTTTGTACTCGCTGAAATAATCATGTATAAACATGTTTTATTTTTGTTGCTCTTTGACATGCTTAGTCTTTACCTTGGGATTTATGGGAGGTAAGAAATTCATACAGCTTTTGTCTCTCATCATGTCTGTTCACATGCCAGTGCCAGCTCTGTTCACATGCCTGTTTCCTTTCCTTCACTGCTTCCCTTCCTGCACACCCCAGGCCAAAGTTGTGTTATGTGCTGCTGGACCCACTTATGCACCTTGTATGAAGCCCCAGGGCCAACCACGTGTTTGCAAGTCAGTCTGGCACTCTGAGACCTACCATTGTACCAGTGCACATGCCCATTGCCTTTCCCTGCTAACCCACTCATCCCTCCCTTGGCATAATGCTGTGACCTTCACCTCAAACTTAACACCTGTGGCATCATCCTCACTTTCCACAACACATTTCCTGAACTCTCTGTGTGCTTTGGTCTTGTGTGCAATGCATAAATATCTCAGCTATCATAAATATATCATCATTACTGCCTGTATCATTAGATATGTACTCATCTGGAATTGTCTGTGGTGTTTGCTGTTCATTTGACCATCATTTTCAGAAAAGCTCATGTGAGTTTGCTCACCCTGTGTCTCCACTGGAAGTTAACTGCAGGCCCAAGACTTGCCTGGCATCTGCCTCAGCTTTGGAGCTTGCTGACAGGGAGACCCTACACATGCCCTGCATCTGAACAAAAACCTGACCCTTGTTTATGCCCTCGTATGTGGCCTGGGCAGGTCTCAGGTTGCTGCAGATTAGCCCCTTGAGAGAGATTTCAAGCACAACTATTTTTGAGTCCCCCTGGACTGGCAGCCAGCCGTGTGGACAGAAAATGCTTGATCTGGGTTCTCAGGCCTGCTGCTGGAACTGACTGTATTCACTGAGTGAGCTCATGGCCTTGGCTCATGCAGAGGAATTGAGTCCTGCCAACCTTCCATTCCCAAGGGCCAGATCACCCTCTAGAATAAGTATACTTGGAAAGACACGACTTAGCCCTGGCCTAAGGGCTCACTGTGGCCATTACTCTCCTTCCCATGAGCTTGGGTGATGTCAAGGGAAAAGGTTTCCCCAGGGAAGAAGGTTTCCCCTGTGTGTTGTATCAGCCATCAGTGTTTAACATCTGTCCTTCCCCTGTATGTGCATTGTCAATCTGTCATAGGGAAGAAGAGACTGGTTTAGCTAGGAAAAATCTCATTCCTTTCAGGTGAATGGGCAGGGGCAAGGTATGACTGTATCTGATTGAGCTGTGCTTACAGTCTTGGCTTTAGGTTTTTTTGACCACTTCTTTCATCCTGCAAAATGATTTTACCCAAAAGAGAATCTGCTCAACCAGGAAATTCTACTATTCAAGGTGCTCTCACTCTACTAATTCTCACCTTGGCATACCATACACAAAGAACAGAGCTTCCTAAGGTGGGGGAATCTCCCTCTTCAAGTCTTCTGAAGTGTTTTTGTTATAAATGTTCTTAGCTGTTGGTGAGAAGAGACTTTTTTGGGGTTCCTTAGTCTCATAGTCCATGAAGTTAACAATTGCATAGAAACTTGAGTGCAGCAGAGCTGGCTTAGTTCTGCAGACTGGGAAACGTGCATTTGGTGAGCATGATGCTGCTGTTGGAATAAGCAAAGCTTTTAAACCTGGTAACAGCAGTGAGCAGTTCTTCTTCTCCCTGTACCATCTTTCCATGACTGTAAATGCTTTTATAGGCCTCAGGATGCCCCACAGGTATATAAAATAGAAAAATTAATAGTTGACATGAAAATGTTCTTTGTTGAAATTCAGGGGACTAATTTAGATCCAGTTTCTCTGATTATTCCATACTATTTTGGCAAATTAGCTGCTTTAAGAAAAAAACCCCGAACCCTCAGCTTGAGGTCCTTTTCACTTGTCCATATAAAACTCATGCTTGATCAGATAGAGCTGGCCTGGCATTTGTTCCAGTTTCACTGAACTCAAATGAAAACCTGGGAGTGAATCCAATTAAACAGAAGGATCCTTTGTAGCATTTCATATGCATATATTTACCTTGGCTCTACCAAAGCTGCTGAGGGAATCCTCTGTAGGATGGGAACAGCTCTGCCCTCTATAATATCTTCTGGCAGTATAGGCCTGTGGACATGGTGATTGGGAGACATGAGGAAGGATGTGATAGGGGAGGAAGGCATGTGTTAGATGACACCACTGGAGCAGCTGAAGGTAAAGTAATGGATTTTTATTAAATCGAGGATTTATTTCTTTGTTATTGCTGCTGTTACTAGAATGCTGCTTGGAATGTTGTGCTAGTGCATGCCTAGTAGCCAGCTGGTACATTTGAGGTTTACCATGGTGATTGCTTTACTCTGGGGTTTTGTAAGGTTGGGACTATGAGAACTACAAAGTTAAGGAATCTGGACAATGCCTTGTCTTGAATATGATTGTATGCAGGGGTGCATGTATCTTAATTCAGCTCCAACTGGCAGTGAAGCACCACACAACCACTCACTCATTTCCCTCCCATTGGTGGGATGGAGGACAAAGTTGGAAGGATAAAAGTAATAAAACTTGTGGATTGAGATGAGACCATCTTAATTCAAACAACATAATAATAATTGTAATGAAAAGAAAAATAACAGAGATAAATGAAACCCAAAAAACCCCAAGTGAGCCAAATGAAAAACAGTTGCTCAACACCAGCTGACTGATGCCCAGCTCATTCCTGAGCAGTGGTGCCTGATCAGCTTTTCCCCTAGTTTATACACTGAGCATGATGGCATTTGGGATATCCCTGTGGTCAGTTGGAGTCAGCTGTCCTGGCTGTGTCCCCTCCCATGTCCTTGTGTCCCCCAGCCTCCTTGCTGGCAGGGCAGCATGATGACATGAAAAGTCCTTGACTTGTTGTAAGCACTGCTCAACAGCAACTACATCATCAGTGTTGGCAACATTATTCTCATCCTAAATCCAGAACACAGCCCTGTACCGGCTATTAGAAGAAAATCAACTATCCCAGCTGAAGCAGGACAACACATTTTTGTCAAATGTATGAGGCATGTAGGCATGCTAAAGCTGGGTATTCCCATATATTAAAAATGGCAAATCTTGGGAGTCTTCCCAAATGCTGCCTGGCCAGTCTCCCAAGGGGCTGATTTGCAGTCTTGGTGCTACCAATGTACTTCCTGCATTGTTGCAATTTCTGGGAGGGGCAAATGAATATCTTTGATTTTGCGTTAAAAAGAAGTTGATCTGACTCAAGATAAAGGAGAATAAAAACTTGAACTACTGGAAGTCTGTCATAGGTGTTTGGTTGGTCTTTTGTTGTGCACAGAAACCCCTGTCCCCAGGCTTTTTTGGTCAGGCAGTGATTTGTAGGTGATACTGAATTTCCTTGGTGGTGGCAGCTTTTGTGCAGTAGAAACTTTCCACCAACACAAATGTGTTACGCACTCCATCTGGAATATTCATAGAAAATTCTTAGCAATAGACTATTCACAAAAGAATCCAAATTCACAACTCTTTGGGCCTGTTCCAAAATTGAAGGGAGTGAAAGTTAGCTCAGTGTCTGTTTGATTCAGTGCTAATGTCGTGTTGATGCTGGGTCTGGACTAAATTTCATATCTGGCCACATTCTTACCATGCTCCTTTGTTTCTGGGAGTAGGTGAGTACTTAAATATTCTGTGATTGTTATCCTTGGAAATAGAGTATGGAGAGATCCTTGTTCTTTGGCATGCAAGAGAGCTTGTATTCTCTTACAAGTGAGCAATCTAGAGCTAATAATAGATACTGTGTGTGTGTTAAGTAGGTCTGCAGTTTGGATCGTGAAGAGAAAGGAGGCAGACAGAATTTTTGGTGTTTCATTGATTTCCTCTGAATTATTGCATGGCTGGAGTTGAGGGTTTCTGACTTAGTTGTGATTTCCATGAGTTGCAGAGAAAGGAGAAGACAGAAATGCAGCCAGACCCTGCAGTGTCTCACCTGTTAGTCAGCAGATGGCTCAGGCAGTGGCACAGAGCACTTGGACAGGCTGGGCTGCACTTTTCTGCACACTTGTGTAACTGGAATGAGAGTAACTTCCCATTGGGATGACTTTTGTATTGCAGCCTGCAGAAGCAGCCCGTGCAGGAGCTGAAGCAGCTGGATCAGAAGCAGCAGCTGGAGCTGAAGCATCTAAAACTGAAGCTGACTCAGGATCGGTAAACACCTCAAGAGACAGCAATCCCTTTCCTCCATCCCTTTGTTACACAGCACACATGGGAGGCTGGACTGGGAAAAGAGCTGTGTGGCTGCTTGGAAAAACACCTCCCTGCCACCAGAGGAGTTACAATGCTCTTATTCAGGGACCAGACTTAGTTGCATTTTATCTGTGTAATGCTTAGGGAGAAGTTCTGCTGGAAAATTCAGTAAAGGAATTGTCCCTTCACCCAAGTTATAGAGTCAGCCCACAGCCCATGCTGTCCTAAGCTGTGTTGTCAGCTGGATTCCCTCTTGCTTGCCATTTACTTTACCTACTCTGTCCTCTGGGCTCTGGCTGTGTCTCCTGAATATCCAGGCTTCCTCTCTTTTTGGTGACACTACTGCCCTTTATAGGGGACAGGGGTAGGTCCTGTCTCATGGCATCTTTGTTCCTACAGGCTGTCACATTTGAGTTGTCTGTTCCAGGAGGGTTCTATGAGATTGCATTGTGACCACAGCAACTGGGAAATGCTGGGCATTATGGTCTCAGGAAACCTACAACTCATCTCTGCCTTTCTGCAGCCTTAGGCAGAGAAAGACAGCAGTCACCAATCCTGCCTTCTCACTGCTGCCTCTGCTGTCCCTTGGGGTGTTCTTGCTGCTGACTGGTGTGCTTGGAAAACCCACTGAAGCCATGGGGATGGGATGGTTGGGGTCTGGATCCTCCAGGGTGGACTTGGAGCTTCAGTTTTGGATTCTCTTTTCTCAATGTCCTTTTTTTCCCTTCCTGGGCTGCCACTGCCTATCAGAGCTCTTTGCCTGCTGTTGTTGTGGAAACTTTCCCTGCAACTGTCAATGGCACTGTGGAAGGAGGTGCTTCATCTGAGAGAGCTGACATGCCCCCAGGATTTCTGTTCAAGGTGAGTGTGTGGCTGTGCAGCATTGAGTTCCTGGTGAGGGTTTTTTCATCCCCTGTAAGGCATTAACTGCTTTCATTTAGCATGGCCATGGGCTAGGCCACATTGAAAGGCAGAACAGAAGTTGAAGAAGAGATAAACCTTCCTCTCCAGCAGTGCAGCTTCATGCAGTTCCAGATGTTTCAAAGGATTATGTAAAAAGATCATCATCTAAAGGTCTTGCTATACTGTGCAGCAAAATCTATTCTCTCTGCTGGAGTGGTCTCTGTCTTGGTGGTGTGGTGGTGTCAGTCACAGACTCTGGATAGTGGATAAAATGTGCTCCTGACAGGGAAAGTTAAGCTTTGGTGCAAGTTGACAAATTGATAAGAGTTGGGAACACCAGCAGGAACAGAGGACTCTGTGTTCAGGGAAGTCAAAAAGTCCGAATTAACAGAGAAAAGTATAGGATAGGGTAGTTGGGTGGGCGTTCTGAATATGCCAAAGATCACTTGCAACAAAGGAGTGGAGGAAGGAGTGATTTTGGGTGAAGATAAGCCACAAATTTAATGTGCATAAGGGAGTGTGGTAGCAAGAAAGCACAGCTGTATCATGGCCTGAAAGTGAGAATTGACAGCATCTTACTATGGGAACATTTCCCTGCCTTTGTAATTCCCATTTTTTTTTCTGTGAGTTCTGCTGAAAGCAAAAGAATGGAAAAGCCCTGAAGAATGACAGGAGGCTCATAACGTTTAATGTGGTTTCAGGTGGCATTTTAGGCTGCAGTGCTCAAAGTGCTGCTCTCCTGTCCCTGCAGGTCCAGGCCATGCACGATTACACGGCCACCGACACTGACGAGCTGCAGCTGAAGGCCGGGGACGTGGTGCTGGTGATTCCATTTGAGAACCCTGAGGAGCAGGTGAGTGGGGGAGGCAGGGTGTGAGCATGGGCCAGGTGGAGCCAAGGGGGCTTCCTGAGCTGCTTCTTTCTTCACTAACAGTTGGCTGGCTGAGTCCTGAGCCGTTAGTTTGTGGCTGGGAGCTGGCAATAAAGCTGGTTGTCCTTGAGCTTGAGATTGGCTTCTTGCAACAGAGGGGAGACTCTGCTTGTTCCTGGAAAGTGGAGACATTATTCTGCATAAAGTATGTGGAGTAGCCATGGGTTCTTGTCCCTATGAAAACATTTGAGCTGATACAGTGGCTCTCTTGATCAGGGAGCACAGCTGAGCCCATACTTTGCCTCCTCACTGCCCCTAAACTTGATCCATATTCCCTATGACCACTACAGCACAGTCTGTGGCATTGAGAGAAGTGACTCATACCTTATGATGTTTTCTTCTCTTCTCTGAGAAATGTTGGAGCTCTGAGAAAGCAGCTGGTGGATGATGTCTTGCACTTGAGCACAGCAGTGGCTGTTTCCAAATGACTGTGTTTGGTCAGGAGATGGCAGCAGAATCAAAGGCTAGAGCAGGTCTCAGCTCCAGAGAGCAAGTCTTGCTGCTCATCTTCAACCTGAATTTACTTGGTCATGTTTTTCTTTAATTTGAGCTAGAAGCCTTGAGTAAGTCTTCCTCACTTTCTGTGTTTGAGGGCACCCAGCTGACAATCTACAGCAGTTTTACTACTTTGACTGAGAGAGGTGTTGAGTTTATAAAATTAATGCTCACATCTCTAGGTTTCTGTTTGGAAAAAAAAGAGAATTCTCCAAATCAATTGAGCAGTCATCAGCTCTTTGGGTTTGGCCAAGTTCAGATAAGATCTGGATTCCACAAGGGGTAAAGGGAAGATGGTGTAGTTCACTAACTCAGAAAATGTGGATCCTCTTTGTGGCCCAGCTGTTGGCTTTGTGAATGATGGAGGCAGATCATGCTGATGTTTGTGAAATGGAGCCATAAATTGCCAACAGTTCCCACACAGCTAGAGGAGGAGAGGTTTTTGGGGAACAGGCACTGATTCCTTCTGGAGACATGACTCCCCACTGGGTGGGACTGCCCTGCACAAGCATTTGTGAACATTTCTTTCTCAGAAAGCTTTCTGGATGGGAAATGAGTGTCAGCTCCCCCAGTTTCTGTGGTAGGAGATGGCGTTTGTGGAGCAGATGGCGTTTTTGGATCAGAGTTTTTCAACGCCCTGTGTTTGCACTTTAGCTGGATGTGGGTGCAACAGCCATGAACTCGAGACTCTCCAAGCTGCAGAGGGTGAGCTCTGAGTGTTGCTAACATGACTCTGTAGCTGCACTGAAGCCCTCTAACCCTTCTACAGTGTATCCTCTGCTACAACTCATTTCCCTAACCTCAACCATACCCAGCCAGGAATTGCTGGCTGTTAACATGTGCATGAACTGTGCACGTGAGTGGAGGGAGCTTAGGATACTGGAGTGATTCCCATCCCTACCTTGCAGCTTAGGTCTCAGTTTGTGGGTATGCCCAGGCCTGGATTCATCTCTCTTGATAGAAGAAAGGGTTGAGGGCAGCAACACTTCTAAGCTGGCACTTCAAGTGATGTGGTTTAAAAGTAAGGCCCCATCTGGATCCTTGTGTACAGCCAAGGAGACCCTTCGTAGCAGGATGTGGTGGGAGTGATGCATGCGTGCTCTATGGCACAGCACTGTGTGCAAATGGATGAGCTTTTGTGCCTGATGTGCTGGGAGCTGCCTTCTACACACTTGGGCCCAGTGTCTTCTGCCTCGTTGTTTGTCTTCCTGATTTATGGCATGTCAGTCCTTCCACAGCCCCTGCAGCTGGCTGCTGCAGATGGGCTCCCATCTCGTGTCGTTCCCATGACATCTCCTGGATGTTCCAGTCTAAGGCAGAAGTCAGGGCTGAGTGAGCCTGCAGGCTCTGGGGGCTGTGCAGCTCCCATGCCTCATGCTGCACTCTAAACCCATGGGCTGCCCCCTGCAAATGAGCGGGGGATGTGCATGGGAGGGGAGCTTCCACTGTGGCAGCTCCAGGGCAAGCAGAGAATAGAGAGGTTATACACTGAGCTGCAAGCTTAGTGCAGCCCTCCCACCCTGAATATCTTGACTATCTCCCTCATGTGCCTAGGATGGAGCAGAAATCTTAATGCCAGGACAGCCTGCAGGCAGAGGGTGAGAAGTCTGCTTCTGCTCGTGACCAGGTTCTACCAAGCAGGGTTCCTTTGCCTGAGTGAAAATTCATCTGTGTTTATAGATGTACAGGTTGGTGGCTAGGGAAGACCTTATTGAGACACCTAAATCACATATAGCCAGAATTTGCGAGTTTTGCTAACCTCACCTTGCATCAAACCAAACAGACTGCTGAGTTTTGGGAAGATGGATTGGGTTCCTCAGCTCCCAGTTCCCATAGATCAGGATTTCAGCATAGCAAATAAGACTGATTTTGCCTGAACCACCTCTAAAATGCCAATCATCTGGGTGCCCTGACTGGAGCAGGGATGAGCACCTCCTGGAGCTGATTCATCCTTTCCAAACACTTGTGCCTGAGATGAACAGGGTGAATTACATGCTGGAGGTATCTGTCTCTTTTATGGCTATGGAGAATGCTCATATTTGCATTGTGATGGGTGAGATAGGTGATTCCCATCCTCTAGCTCTGGAGTCTCTTTTGGCAGAATTTCTCCTGTTTCAGTGGGTGTAAATTATGACATATTTCTGTTACACTTGCTTATTTTTTACTGTGTCTGCACAGTCTGGGTCAGATGGGAGCTTTGGTATGAACTCTGGTGGGATGTAGCCTTTTCTCTGTTTAAAAGGAAACAAGAGTATTTTTTCCTTCTCCCCCTACTCCTCCTGGATTGTCTCCAAGCCAAATAAGAGCATGGCTTTGGTAATGTCTTGACACCTCCTTGGCCTGCACTGTGTAAGAAAAATCCCTGCTCACATCTGTCCCTTAGCATCTGATCTCTGTCTTCCCCTCCAGGATGAAGGATGGCTGATGGGTGTGAAGGAGTCTGACTGGATCCAGCATAAGGAACTTGACCAATGCCGAGGGGTTTTCCCTGAGAATTTCACAGAACGGGTGCAGTGAAAGTCCAAGCCCACCAGCTGCGTTTCTGCTGGAAGGAAGCAAGTTTTCTGGTAGATAACTGAAAAAGAACAACAAGAGGAAATGAAGAGAGAATTATGAAGGAATAGAAACCTGAAAAAAAAGTCAACTTAAAGGGTGTGTTCTTCTCAAAGGGCAAGGTTTCAGAAGTTAATTGAAATTCAAAGTGTTATTGAAATATATACATATTAATAATAATAAGGCAATTCAGATACCCTGTTCCCCTTTGGTTTAAACAGCATTTGGATTCAAAGGACTGATGCAGAAGCAACTCAGTGAGGTTCTCCAAGTACTGCATTGACTGAATTGTCAGATGTCAGTCTGATTCCTGGAAAGGCAGTATTTGTTGAATGGCTTGAAAGTAGGAGCAGCATTTGCTCTTGGGTGGGTTAATCTGTTTTGTCTTGAAGGTGGCTTGCATGGCAACCATAAAAATTCAGCCTTCCCTACATCTTCAACCTACAGTAGCCAAACTTTCTGTTATGCTGTTGAAAAGAAAATTTAGTGTATAGTGTTCACCACTACAATGTATGTGTGTGTGTGTGTGTGTGTGTTTTATTTTCTTCCTTTAAAACAATGTTACATAAACTGTGATTTTATACATGTAAAGAGAGAAGAAACTACATGGAAAGGGCATGAAGAAGGTGAAATGTGTGAAGCTGTGCTCAGTCCAAAGTTCTTTCAAATGCGGACACCTAAATTCTCATGGTGGTGTTGGCCTTTGAAAACCTAAGGGGAATGGACAAATTCAAGAGGAGAAACAAGACAAGCCATTTGGATGTCTGAAATTTAGGAGAGGGAATCCTCTAGTACACACATCCCCATCCCTTACCCCCCCCCAAAAAAAACCCAAACCTATTGGTGGTTTCAGAAAAGCTTAGATTCATGTAGATGGAAAATAGCTCTAAAATCTACTGGTTAGAAAATTTGCTTTTTAAGACAGAGATAAGGGATTTTTTTTTTCTGTAAGAATATCAAAGCAAAAACACTGATAAAAAACAAGTTACTTTCTGTGCTTTTCATTGGCGTTGTTTTTTGTGGAATTGTATTTCTTATTTTCCTTTGAAGAGTTCTGTAAGTGAAATATCGTTAGATCAGCTTTCTCCAGTGCTGTGCTGATGATCAAGTTAACCTCTATGAAAACAGGACTCTTGAAATGCTTGTTTAAAATGGCTGTGTGACTTCATGCTATTGTAATGCATTAGAAAGGAAGGCAAGAATTTCAAATTGTCAGTGTCAAGAAGACACTCTGCAGTCTAATACTGATGCTGAGTCCTTTCCTTTACCTTTCCTTTGCTTCTGTTTGTTTTTGAATTTTGTTTTTTTTTTAGTTTAGACAAGCAGATGACAAGGCATATTCTAAGTGCATATTACACTTGTTAATATAAGCCGGTCTGGCTCTCCAAGACTCTAAAGTCCCACAAAGGTACTTTATAAACTTTACTTGAATACTGATGCAGCTGGCAAGCAAGTCAGGCTATTTTAATTTTTTACAGCTTCCCCTCCTCCCCCATGATTGTTTTGCCCTGAAGGGATTTTTAACAGTGAGGTTATGCCACGCTCAGGATCACTCTGAAATAATCTTCCAAACTGGTAGGAGTTGGCTTTTGTCAAAGCTGCACCAAATGCTGACAGAGTACTGAAAATCTCACCTTTTCCAGTCTGTTTGGATTATTTGTAGAACAACAGAAAAACATTGTAGGGCAAAAATTGTGTTTAAAAAAAAACCAAACAACTTAGTTTGGAGGAACAGATCTGATTTTGATTAGAAAATATATTCTTATAGATGCAAGCATTGTTGGAGTTCCTCCTGCTTTCAGCTTGGGAGATGATCCATGCTGGTTATTTACAGCAATGTAACAGGCATTAAATCTGTCCTATATACCCAAATCCCTTCTCCTTTTTAAAAGAAAAAAATGTGCAAAAATTTATTTTGCATCACTGTTAGAAACCCCAATAGTATTTAGGAGTAACTGCTCACAATACAGAAGGACTGGACTCCACAAATTATGGTATGGTGAGCTGTTGCTTTAGAATACTGCCCTGTTTGACTTTTTTTTCCTTTTTCATCAGGGTTGTCTTTATTATTACTCTTTTTTGTTTTTCAAAATATCTATTTTTATGCATTTGTGACTCCCATTACTCCTTTAAAGATTATTCATATAAAAATATACATTTAAATATATATAGAAATATATATATATAAAAAAGCGGGTTGATCCAATTAACATAATGCTGTCAGCTTAAAATGTTTATTTTTATGCAAAACCTGTGGATAATAGCTTTGTTTTTTTTAAAAAAAGGACAAGATTCTAAGTTACCAGAGCTGTGATTTTGTCTTGTAGTAACTGTTCTAGACCATTTAGAAAGCTGTGCTGATACCTAATTTATTGTGGTTTTTTTTTTTTTTTTTTTTGCTGTTGTTGTCCTCTGCTGTGCTTGAACCAGATGACTGTCCCAACAAAGATCCTTGTAAGGCCTTTTCATTTTATTGAGCTTGCAGAGCAACTATCCAGTACTGTATTGTCCCTGCAGAAGTGGTAGCACTTTGCAAAAAAGGGATGTTGTTTTCAGGTCATGTGAGTGATGCTCCAGTGTTGCTGGTGGGGAGAGCGTTGTGTCTCTCTCCATTTGCTTCCCCCGACCCCAAAACCCCCAAGCCCCCTGGCTTAGAGCAGGTTAGGGTGGGTTACCTGGATCTTGCATTGCTCACAGATAAGTGGTGTCAGCACATCTCAGTCAGGTTCTGAAAATGCAGGATCAGACCCACAGTTTATAAATTGCCTTATGTGAAAATAGGATGGCAGAGCAGGAAACTTGTAGATGGCAGTGTTCTTTAGAGCCAGGAGAGCTGTCTCCTGGGTCGTTCAGCCCCTTGTAAACAGCCATGGCTCCTCCCATTTTCAGTGTTTCTACATCTCCTAAATACCTTGATTCTGGTTGGTATTACCTGGTGAAATGAACTTCCCCTATTCTTTGGTTTAAATCTGATTCAAATAGAAAGAGGGACAGTAAACTCTCAAGTAGGCTGTGCCCTTCTGGTTTTTCAGTTTGCAGGCTGAACTGAAAAATCGGAGAAAAAATGTAAGGGTGGCCTGAGACAATTTTTTTTCCATTTTCGCAGTGGAATGAAAAAGGGAAAAATTGAAACAAACAAATCCTTTCATACCAAAATGAAACATTAATTTCTAGGCTTGCATTTTAACAAACGTTATGTCTTGGGCTGTAACAAGTTGCTTTGAAGCAAAAATGTGAAACCTTCTGTTTTGAAAATGCTGAAAGAAAATGTTTTAATGTTAATAGTCTTTTTGCCTTTGCCTTTTTTCTTAATCTGATGACTGGTTTCAGTTAACTCTAAACTGTATTTTTTTGCAAATATCCACTGAAGAGAACCCAAAGAAGCCCAGTTCTGCTCCACTGACAGATACACTGGACACGTTTCAGGGATTACTTGGTATCTGGCCCATCAAAGCTGTTGTTTTCCCCATTTAATAATCTTCCACTTGATTGTTCTACTGGGTGAAAAATAAAAGCATCTCTCATCCCGTGCCAGTGACTGATTTTGTAGCTGGACTTAAAAAGACATTCTTGCTCTGTTGGCTTCAGTTTGGTTACAGATTTATGATACTCCAGTTTGAGCCTAATCCTTGTATGAAGTGGGAATTAATATTTACCCAACTGATGAGAAGTAAATAAGGTATTGTTTCTTACCCCTTTTTCTATCTTAGCAGTGTCAGTAATATATCTATTTGATAGAATCAAGGAAAAGTCCCAGGGTGAAGAAGAGTATGATGTTCCAGGTGAGACTCCCACATACGCTGTGCTATTTTCCATGGGAATTCCTCAGCTGTCTGCTTTTATCACCTTTGTTTTGCTTGGCTGTTGAGGTGAGGCAGTAAATGGGGTTGTGCAGGTTCATTTCCAGCTGCTCAAAGCTGGCAGTGCTTTGTGTGAATTGTGCCACAATCCCTGAAGCTTTGTTCACTGTTGCAGAACCCTTTCCAGTCCCACTACCCTAAGACTGTGGCCAAGGCAGACAGCCCCAAGTCAAAGGGGACTTGGAGCAGGAGTGAGGGCTCCAAATTCTACCTGGAACTGGGATGCCAGCTAAATTAGGTTTTGCAGTAGCCTCTTGGAGGGAAAAGGCCCAAGGCTAAGGAGATGGAGGAGGATGGAGGAATGACTCATGATCTTTTTCATTTTGGGTTGATGCACTGACTCCCTCACCTCTCAATTCCAGGGAGAAACTCTGTAGGGCTGAGAACAAAATATAAATGGCCAAGATGTGTATGTTCAGTCTGATAAAAGGTGCTTCTTGCCTGCCAGTGGCACTGAGTTCTGAGCTTCCTGCTCTGTGCCAGACAGATGCAATGCTCTGCCACAGGTAGTTGGATGCTGTGCAGTCAGTGCCCAAAACAGTGAATGTCCTTGTCTGAAGGAGGCAAAGGTGTCTCTCAGCCCTTTCTAGGAAGACCTGTGTATCTCCCAGAGACAAGGGAGGACTGTGTGCATCTAACACAGTCGCCTCTGATTTCAGCACTGGCCCCATTCTCCAGCTCCTCTCACCTCCCAGCCTCTCCCATGCTCTTTGAGGATGATGGCAGCATCGGGCACGCCCCACCAGCCAAAAAGTGCAAAGCCAGAAGATGCACAAACATGTCCATCAGCAAATCCTACACAATGCAGCTTGATAGTGCTGATACCAGGAAAACAAGCAACAGCTTTTCTTCCCTGGGCCACCAAAGGGAAGCTACTCCTTGCCACACAGGTACTGTCACACCTGGTACTGGTGCAGACACCTCTCTGCTTGCATGCTCTAGTTCACAACTTTTTGCACAACTCCTGATGATGGAAAGGAGTCCTGGGTGGTGCCCAGAGCTGGATTGTGGCACCAGCCCTCACAAACCATCGGGTCTTGTTGACACGTGAGGGCAAAGAATAAAAGGCTCTTTTGGAAATTTTGCTTATGAAACTAAATGGAGAAACGACAGCTGTGAAGACTGGTCTGTATAAGCTTGTACTTTGATGTGTCCTATGGCTATAATTCCTTCACCTCCTCCTGCAGCTTATTCTGCTATCGTGACCCTAGTCTGCATTTCATGTAGAAGGACCCTACTTGAAACTTGCCAGATGCAGCCCTGGGCTTATTGCTTCTCTTTAGCTGAATTAAGTGGGAATGACTTTGGCAGTGTATTAGCAATCTCTTTTCCTTCTGTTAATTCAGTCTCTGAGTTTAATCACAATGACCTGAAACATGTTTGGGGGTTGAGTGGTTTTTTAATTAATTTTTGTTTTGTTTAATCAAAGCTGAACAATTCCCATTGTATTTAGAGCTGTGATACCCAGTTCCACAAGTACTAGATGAATTTGTCCCATCTTGTTTCTTGGTGATGTTCAGAAATATAATTTGTGTCATCCTAAATCCTGCGTCAGTTTCTCTCTCTATTTTTTCCCTACCTTTATATTAAGAAGCTGAAACAATTCAGGACATTTTTCTTCCCACAGAGGTGAGTAGCTTCATAGATGTTTGGTGTCCAGGCACCTTTAATATTGGGAGTTCTTACAATCACATGGGATGGAGAAGGTGATGCTGGTCCTCACAACAGCAGGGTAAGCTCTTGTAGCGGCCATCTCTGTTCCAGTTGATGGTGGCACTAAATGAATGTAGTGTAAGGAAGGATTTGAGATCTTTCCTTTTTATTATTAGCTACTGATCCCAAAGTGATGTGACCTTCATTGTCTAAGGCAGGTCTATTGGTGGGACTATGG